TAATTTATTATCAATCTGACATGAGTTTCTTTGATCAGAGATATGTGCTTTTCTAATTTATTGTTGTATGTCCCATTCTTTTGCATGTGTTTTCCTATATTAAACATCTGATCTGATAACACTACTTGCCCAAGCACTTACTGAAAGAATCTTGTATTTCTTGTTTTGGACTAAACACTTTGATCAACAATATATTCTTGCATTCTAATGGATGTTATTGTCCACTGCCAGGGCTTTGTTGAGATAAACTGCCAGATTTTAGCAGGCGTGCAGGTGAGACAGTTTTCTCTTGAAACTTATTTTCACTTCTTTCTTCTTCTAACAATTCTAGTTATGGTCATATCATATATGAAGTACTGATGAGTTGCTTGCATTGCAGACAGTTGTGGTTGTTCCGGTGCTTCCATTTGGGGTGATACAACTAGGTTCTACCGAAATGGTAGATTGACTTCCACTGTATTGAAAGTTTAATGTAGTAACTGTGAGTAGATATTGATCGTTGTGAAAAGTGGCCCATCCTGTTTTTCCAACTGCAGTATATATTTTCTTGTTCTGGAGTCTGGACAACAATAGACACAACTAAAAAATGAAAAACCAAATTTTGGGGTCTGATCAATAAAATTTCATGGATGGTTGCACTTCCTTGCTGATTGGGAAACATATACTTGCTCATTTTTGCTATATATTTGGAGACTAGTTGAAACTATTCCATGGGACCTGTGATGGTTAGTCCCATATGCTACAAGATTATTTTTGTGAAAAATTTCATATGAACTTGAATTTCATTATAAAGAGTTAGCACACAGAAGTTAGATTCATTTTTCTTTTTGTTGCATTAATGAGTATGATGCTGATGTGCTGCTGGAATGGCTGCTCCTGTCCTTGAACAAATAGTCCCATGAGATTTATGCTGATGGATTTAGATGAAGTGTCCTATGCTTGGAAAAATGTTCTTCTCTGTGCTTCTGATCTTTGTATCTGTATCTTGCAGGTTCTGGAAAACATTGCATTCGTTAATCATGTAAAAGGTTTATTTTTGAAGTTAAATTGTGGATTAGGATCTCTTCCATCTGATACCACTCAGAAAACTCTAAAGGAAAAACGTTCAATATATTCATCATCTGGCTTGGTTTTAGGTGACAAGTCTACAAATTCTTGTACTAATGCAGACAACATATTGTGTGTTACTGATGATGGATGCAGCCCTGAGCTGGTGAGATCCCCAGCTCCACAATCTATTGCTGAATCCTTTTCTGCAGTACCATGGCGGTTGAATAAAAAAATGCAACCTAGTGCTTCTGAAGTGATGTCAAGCAAACAGATGATAAAGACTGCACATCCTTTGGGAAAAATTATTGTGCAAGGTACTCAGGACGTGTTTTCCAAGCCAGTTATAGAGTGTACCCGGAAGGTACTGCCAATTGATACAGGCTCCAAATGTCAAAATGATCCTTCTGTTTTGAACTCCATTCTATTGTCTAATAGTTTAAAAGCCCTGGAAGAAGAGCTCATGTTCACATCAGTTGTTGGAATGATAGAATCTAGTCACAACTTATCTAGTTCATTTGAAGATACCAAGGGCTTTCCATTAAATGTTAAAGGTGAATCATCCAACAAAGCGGATGAAATTAGTCATGTTGGTTCTATTTCACGTGGCATGACTGAATGTTCAAGCTCTTGTTCTAAGTTATCTGTAAGCGGGGTACCTCCAATTTTACACCAGAGAAGCTATTCAATCAGAAATCCTGGCATTTTAGATGATTCTAACAAGGACCATCCTTTCCCTGTCGGTACAGTTCCTCTTCCTGTATCAAATGAAGAAGTGCTAAAAGGAAATGATGATTTTGTTCAAGATTCTCGTATCTTTTCCTCAGAGTCTGATGTGCCAATGTGTTGCTCCGAGATGCTTGCTGACATTGGTCAAGAAAGCAAACTCTGTTATTCAAATACTCTTCAGAGATACGAAAGATGTAAAAGTGTTAATTATGAGATCAATGGTTCTTCTAGATACAAACCTCTGCATACATTAAAGAATGACACTTCACTACTTTCTGTGGATTTTGCTTCAAGTAATGATCTCCTTTGCATGTTGGATTGTGACAGTAAATCATGTTGCTCAACTGGAACTTTGGATGATCTTTTAGTGCATAAGAGCAGTACAAATTCTTGTAATTTGGGTACCAACAAGCCTAAGCTCCCAAGTGACTCAGATGCATGTCCTGTCTTTGATTCATTGAATGATCAGATTTCTTATTCTGGGCTACTCTTCCTAAATGACAGTGATCAATTACTGGATGCAGTAGTCTCAAAGATCAATTCAGGTGCCAAGCAGGTTTCAGATGACAGTGTTTCTTGTAAGACTTCATTAACACATATTCATAGTTCTCATTATGCTGGACTTCCCAGTCATAGTGAAACATTTTTGTCGAAGCACAGGAAAGATGATATTATTGGTTTTCCAGCAGTACAAGTGAAACCAGAGCCTGCATGCTCAAGTTTTGACAAGTCTTCGTGCAGCTTTGTGAAAGACGGAGAGTACTCTCAGAATACTGGGCTTTGTAAATCTCAGATCAGCCCATGGGTTGAAAATTATCGAAACGTTAAATATGATTATGTGTCAGATTCAAATAGTAAGAAGGTTGTGCAAGTAGGTAATCTGAACCGGAAGAGGCTTAGACCTGGAGAAAGCCCTAGACCAAGGCCGAAAGATCGACAGATGATACAAGACCGTATCAAAGAACTTCGAGAACTAGTGCCAAGTGGGGCAAAGGTGACCTTGTTCTTACTTGAAGCTTCAAGCATGCATTAACTTCTCAGTTATGCTTTTTTGGTGTTTAACATAAATGCTAACATTTTTATCGTTTCATGTTATTGTTATCGGAACAGTGTAGCATTGATGCTTTATTGGAAAAGACCATCAAGCACATGCTTTTCTTGCAAAGCATATCAAAGCATGCTGACAAGCTTAAGGTTGCTGGAGAACCCAAGGTATCTGATTTGACTGCTAACTTGTTGTTTGATGTATATCTTGACTTGTTTAAAACTTCTTAAAAATTATTGGCTGCACCTTCTTTGGCAACCTGCAAGCTAAATAAGAAACACCAATATTGAAAAGCATGTGTATCATTTGTGGCACAAGTTTTTTTGCATGATGAAATTAGGTGTTTTTACTAGTGAAGACTTCAATGTTGGTCATAGTTTTCTTATAGCTAGAAGCATATTCAAAACTCTATTTCTAAATTGTGCAAATATTAGAGATTTGTGTAATTCCATTTGGTATGTATGGGGCTAGTTATACAATTTCACTGGCAAGTACCATTTGTTATTTATTTATTTATTTTGGTAAAGGTGGTTATCAACTCCATCTTTGGCTACACCTTAAGCTGTCACATGCTTTGTGATACCCTTGTGTAAGTGTATCATTAATTTGGCGTACCTACAGATCAGCAGTGAGGAGGGTGGTTTGCTCTTGAAAGACAACTTCGAGGGTGGTGCAACATGGGCATTTGAGGTAGGAACTCAACCAATGGTATGTCCCATCATAGTGGAGGATCTGAACCCACCTCGTCAACTGCTGGTAGAGGTAAATACAGTTTCTCTTGTTGCTCGTTTTTAATCACTTTACATCAAGGAAGAGAAAGTCTGATGATGCATTTCACATAGATGCTTTGTGAGGAGCGGGGTTTCTTTCTGGAGATTGCTGACTTCATCAGAGGACTGGGATTGACGATATTGAAAGGGGTGATGGAAGCACGAAAAAATAAGGTCTGGGCACGCTTTGCCGTAGAGGTACTTCCATGACTGTTCCAGGTTACAAGTAATTTGCTGTTAATCCGTGCCATTAGTCTGGTAACATGTAGACATACTTCAGCAATGCTATTATCCATGAGCATGCATACAACTTAGACATGACCTGAGTTCACATTGCACTGAATTTTTTTATTTTATTTCATGTTTATGTTTTTACTTTCCTACCATGATGCCACTGTGGCACCTATCATTTTCGAGCACACAAACACCAACACTTTTAAATTAATAGTTTATATCCAAATGCTTTTAATTCGTAAATCATGTGGCAATCACTTAAACAAGGTTCCTTGCTTTGCGCACAGGCAAACAGGAATGTGACTAGGATGGAAATATTCCTTTCACTTGTACAATTGTTAGAACCCACAGCTGGAAGCAGTATGGCACTACCAAGCGTCAGTGGTAACATAAACATTCCGCATGCCATTTTACACCAAACTTACGTCCCTGCAAGGGTTAATTGATCGTCTTCGGTGAGTCATATGCTCCATGATTCCACCTGGAAAGGCTAAGAGCGCGGAGAGGCTCGCTTGCCACGACCAGCGTTCTAGCATCGATACGGGAGACAACTAGAGTCGACATTTTTGTCTAGGGCTATTCCAGCTTCATCATCTGGAGGCATGTGGGCTGATATTTTGATACTTCTTGTGAATGTTGATAGCAAGCTAAAGGCTTTAGCATATTCTCTTTCCTTTTGTAATAATTATCCGAGTATGCACCTCTTATTTGCCCACCTGTTTGGAATGCCAAAGATGTAAATACTAGGGCAGGACTCTGAGATTAGGGTTCTGTATGCTTATTGTTTTAAATTCCTGTACTAGTTTGGAAAGCAAAAGAAGTCAAAGAATTGAAAACTGAATGAAGAATGGTTGAAATATGACAACTTTTGCTCCCTTTTTATTTATTTATTTATTTATTTATTTTCTGCTAATGATGGATTGGAAGTCCCACATCCTTGTATTGTTTGTAGCATTAACCTCAACAAAACCTCCTGTTGTCTGCCATGCATTCTGTGTTATTAGGTTTTATCACCTGTTAGTATTCTGCTTCATGGTCTTTCCATTGGCATTATTGAGTCAACTTTACACTGATTTCTTGTAACATTTTCTATAATCTTATCTCAAATATGATCATTGAGTTTGCTTTTAAGAATAGATAGATCTACATTATGATCCACACATAAATGCACCATGTATACAACATATATCTGTATAAGATTCATCCATATCTATGATTGATATGTGTCTCATATGAGTAAGCTCCCTAACTATATGTTCCTAAACCTTATGGACTAACCTCCTAACTCACACACCATATCCAATAACAAGCTTCCATGCAGTATGAGACCCTGTGATCAACTCCTAAAGCACTCAACTCTGAGGAACAGAGATGACAAGGAGATTTCTGGCCATGAATGCTGCATTGTTGAACAAACTGCAGGAGTCTGTGGCCTCACTGCTCATCTCCATCCTCCTGCCCATATGCTCTCGCTGGATGGAATGGATGGCTGCGCTCCCGACAGCGAGAGGTTTCCACTGTGTTGAAGGCCAAGCGTGAGGGAGACGCCATTGCCTGAGAACCTCGAAGCAAATGTCGGATAGGCCTCATGATCACCTCCTTGGCTGCTGCTGCCTGCTATCAACGGGTATGCTTGCTCCTCAATCCTCTGCCTCGCGTCCATGAACTTCATCAGCAGCTCTTGGTTGCTCAAGGCGTCCAGCTTCGGCTCAAATGGTGGTGGTGGTGGTGGTGGTTGTGCTGCTGCAGATGGTTGCTTGACGTCGTTCTTGAGGCTATCAGTCATCCCTGTGCTGGACTTGGATGTGGAGCGTCCATTGGCGTCAATCTTGGTTGCAGTCTCATCGGCGTTGCGCTGTTCGTGGTGCTTCGTCTCTTCCAGGTAAATTTCCTCCACCATGGGCTTCCATAGGCGCACTCTCGCATTGATGAACCAATTCGCGACCTGTGGCCGTGAAAGAACACCACATTCTTCATCATAATCCTCAAACATTCCTACGAGAGAGAGAGAGAGAGAGATGTCTTTTGTGATCTACCTGACTCCTCGTGAGTCCTGTTTGCTTGGCCAGCATAAACTTGTCCGAATCCGTTGGGTATCTGCAATCCACAAGAATTTAGAAGGCGGAATGACATTTGTAATCCGCGGGAGGAGTTCTGCGACCGGAGCACTCACGGGTGGAGGAAGTGCTCGAACAGCCAAGCTCGGAGAACGGAAACAGAGCGTTCAGGGAGTCCTCGCTGAGGTCGCCAGGCATTCGGCTGGATCATCTGCCTCTGCTGTCTCAGATGCTGATCGATGAACCGAAGCCTCGAGTTCCCCAGCTTGGTGTCTTCCTCCCCCAAAGTCTTGCAGGTTGCTCGAATCTGGCCGACGATGGCGTCTCGGAGACACCGGAATTGCTTCGATATGGTCCGCTGAGCGAGGACGGTGTATGTTCTTGCAGATCCATGGCCAGCAACAGCTTCGAAGGAAGCGATCACGGTTTGCATCTGGTGGTTGTACTTCCTGTATCTCTGTTCCGCCTTCAAGTTTCAGAGAAGGAAAGCAGGACAAGTGAATTGTCAGCTAAAGCAGAGGAATCAATCAGGAAGACGACAACGAAGAGTTACCTCCTCGAGCATGCTGATGAGCTTGGCCTTCTTCATCTGTAGCTCCTGCCTCTCAGCTGTTGTCAGATCCGCTCTTTGCTTCGTGCTCGTGGTTTCTCCACCTTTCAGCTCTGTGTTCCTCGACTTAGGCCCCTTCGCTGCCTCATCTTTAATCCCCTTCCCGACGTCGACCACCTCGTCGAGCAACTGTTGAGCTGCCTTCAAGTACTTGGAACCCATCAAGAAGCTCCGCCGGCCAGAGACGCCATTCGCGCCACCTACAGACGCCGCAAACATCACCTCGTGGGCGCTCCCCGGAGTCATCGCCATCTCATGTGGAGAGAGGCTCAGAGACAGTCCTCGCCGCCGGGGACTGAACTGGGATGCCACGTCGACGGAGTTGCTCGTGGGCGTCGGCGTCCAGAGGTTGTGATGGAGGCGGGTGAGTACCGACGCATCATGGGACGCGTGGATCGGTAGGGGGCGGTCCGAGTCACGGAGCCGCGCTGCTGGTTGGAGAGGGATTCCGACGAAGTCCTGCTGCTGCTGGTTCGGCTGGCCTGCTTGTGCGAGAATGATCGGGTTCAATGAATTCATCGTGGAGTTGAGTAGGACCATGTTGGCCGGAGCTGCTGCGTCCATGTAGCCAGCGTAGCCGGGGTTCATGAGGAAGAGGGTCTGCAGCCCATCCGGTTGCACTTCCGGAGCTCCATGAATGAACGTCGCCATCGCGAGAGAGAGAGAGAGAGAGAGAGAGAGAGAGAGATCAGCTTAGGATTGTAGCTCGATCGAATGCCTCGGTCGACGCAAAATGCTCATGGAGAAAAGCAAAGGGAAGAACATGGACGATCGATCGAGTGAACCGAAGAAGCCCACGTCGAACAGTCGACACCACTCGATCCATCTTCCCAAGTGCTCTCTCGGTAAAAGAAGTACTCCGTCATATCAAGCAACTACGCATGGCTTCTTAATCCTTTAACCTGTGTACTGAAACCACACACAACTTCGATGGAATCACCTCCTCGAGGCAGCCAATCAGAGACTGCTCGCTGTCTTGGGATGACCCGATAGCAGAGTCGGAACTCCCCAAAAGACTCTGCTTTTCTTCCTCTTTCTTAGAAGCTCCAACATGCAGCGCTCGATCTGATCTCTCATGAGCAAAAGCAGCAGCAGGAGATGAAAGCTGTATCAGATGCAGTTTCCCTTCTATGTATCCATCACAAGCCGTCAAGCGGAGTCTAAGCTATCATGATGCCCTCATGAAAAGAAAGGCAAGATTTGGCCCACCTCTTCTCCCCGGCATCAGATGTAGCAGCACGAGAGGGATCGAGAGACATGGCATTCTACGAAGACGTCAGTATAATTCTGTGAAAGAAGCGACACAAGTGCCACAAGGAACAAAGACCTGTCTGAAGGCCGTGCGCGAGAGAGAGAGAGACCGAGAGAAGGTCGGCAGGTGCTTTGTCTCTACTTGTTTTGTTGCGTACTCGATTCTTCTTCTTCTTCTTCTCCTCGCTGCTATCTACTTGTTGTGTTCATTATTTATGGGTGGATGATGATGCTGGAAGATAAAAAGGCATTGAAAGCTAAGCAAGCCCGGCAACGACAGCCATGACAGCAGCACAGCGAGAACGTTGTCTTCTTCTGGGCAAGACTAGACTCGATGCAGGCGAAAGTCGTGTGGAAGTCTACCAAGTGTAACCTATCTACATCTGGTTCTGATAGCGAAGGATGACGCCGAAGCCCTCGAAAGCATCCACCCACCCAATGCCCTCTTGTTCCGAGCGTGCCATGGCACAGCACGAGCCATGGTGTTCATCAAGGTCATCCATCTTCCTGCACATCGACTGTAGTGTTCGAGAGAGACACTAAGGTGGCAGAAACATCATGTGATGGAGCAGATTTCCGTGTCTCAGAATCATCCGAACAGTCAACAAAAGGGAACTCCCCTGCCTCAACAATGCCTCGAGGTGTTGGAAGTGGAAATTATCAGTTAAGCTGTTCTTATCAGAAGCAACCTTTGATTGATTAGCCATTGAAATTATTTCTCCGAGGAAAAGGATATGAAATGTCACACTCTCCTGCTTGCATGACATGAAAGTGGCCTGCATTTTTTGTGTTAGCGCTGTCAAAGAAAACATTTAAATTATCATATTACCTTTTATCTATCTTTAAATTTCCTTACTATTTCTATTTTACTTTTTTTCTTTTCTTTTGCATTTGTTGGTGGATGGAAGAACGTCTTCTCTGATTCTTCTATTGAACTCGAGCGAGTCACTCGAGATAGGTGAGGTTAAAGAATAATAAGAAAGAGAGAGAGAGAGAGAGAGAAAAGAATCAAGGAAGGCATATCTCTCTCTCTCTCTCCCCAATGTCAATGAAACGTGTGTTTGGACTGTGTGTTGTGTGATACTTTTTCTTCTTCGAAGTCGTCCTCGAGACGCAACTCCTCCGATGCGTCTCCATAGTTTATTTCTAGTGGCCTTCGACAGCCACTCCTTTTGTCTCCTTCTTCTTCTTCTTCTTCTTCTTCTTTTTCTCTTCCTCATTTGTATCTTCTTTCGCCACACTGAGTTGGTGTCACAGACTTTTAAGCTCACCATTGTGTTACAGAAGACTTTACATGACACCACATGTTTTCCACGACTCATGAGAAAAATGCAAAGTCACAAGAAAAAGTATCCATAATAGTTTGTACACCTTTCATTCTCAGCAACTTTACACAATGAATGATGGTGTTGGAGAAATCGATCTTTATTCATGATGGGGAGCAGCATAGACTCTTACAGACATAAAATTATTTTGAATATTATGTAATTATTTACATTACTACTATCTTCTCATACCAATATTATGTTAATCGACATATTATGACCGAATTTATCATTGTTTGTGATAAGCATATTTAGGAAAACCAATACTTTTACGATCGTCAAGTCATCCTCTACCTTCAGCGACGTTTTTTAGAGCTCACAGTACGAAACTCTATCTTCATATGCACCTATTAAGACTCATCTAGAAAGAATAATTCTGGATGAACTGATTTATCAACTGGTGTTAGAATGATTTTAATTCCTCACAAATAGTAGTGGCTCACCCAATACTATTATTATGTAATCATATGATCATCATTTTTTTCACTTCAAGTAAAGGGTCAACGATGAAGATGAGATATAATCGCACAACCTTATTATCGGCAAGCAGCCATCCATCTTCGTCATCGTCTGATGAGTAGGAACTCGAACCGAGAGGTAAAAGGGTTGAGAGGGCCACGGCCGAGTAGGACTCAGCGGTGATGGGCGCCGCCGGCCCCATCCTGCAACACAAAGTCAAGGAAGGTGGCCAACCAACGGGAGCAGCGCCACCCGTCCCCGTACCCGGTGGCTCGTCAGTGGCGGGACCGAGTGAGTCGTGGGGTACAGAGACTGGTACGTCAGACGTGCAGCGTACACGACGAGATCAGTCACCTTAAACATGTGGAAGACGACGGTGGCGATGAACACGAGAGATTTAGAAGCCAGGTCGGTGTGTGTGTCGGCCGCTGCGTCCTTCTCCTTCGTTTCTTGGCTTTGACCGAGTGAGCGAGCCAAGCATAATAAATGGGATACAAAGTACATGGATGTTAACATGTTAACGCATGGATTAGGCAGAGAGAACAAGATGAAAGAAATGGGAGAACAAGATGAACTATTAAAGATTCCATATGTTGACATCCAAACGACGGTTGAATCATTGGAGGCATTTGGTAGAAATCGAAACCGGGAATTGAAGTCTTCCTTTTTTATGTTGTTCTCAGAGACCGACGACACTTTCACAGCCTTGTTTCGACCTTTAACAAGATTGTGATGGTGGCTATTGTCATCCGATGTGGTTGAAAACTCTCATCATTCCAAAGTATGTTTTGCATTTTCATTCTGCATGAAATATCACAGAGTGTTAGCAGCAATCTTTGATCATTTTTAATGTCGTAGACAAAAGATGCTCACATCCAAAAGGCTAGCAAATGTGAGAGATGCCATGGTGGTTGATTCGGTCCCAAACAGCAAAAGTATAAAGAGTGACGTACTAAACCAGCATATTTAACCAAAAAGGAATTAATTTGCATTTTTTGGAAGAAATGGTTTCCAACTAAGATAATTACACTCCATGAATTGAGGCTAAATATTAATAACAGCACATTACTTGTGATACTGCTAGTCCACACGAATCACATACATACCACGACAGAAACGAAGGCTTGCGGCTTGCTTAAAAAATAAAAGATGATATTTCTAGAACACATTCATCGTCATGTCGATAGGTAATCTCCATATCAACTCTGTGCAGAATTAGCGACAGCCAACAGACTGTTCACTTGAAACATACCAATTAGAGACATAATCTAAAGGAGAACAGCTCTTTAACAAGGTAGTATAATCTACATTCAGCATGAATGACCTTTAGTCTACCTTATCTCATCACTACAAATCTATCTAGAACTAGGGCTTGTAAATGTGCTATGTATTGTATCGTATTGGTGACCTTGGGCTCACATGTCCATGGGATCATTAGGGGGATGAACACTGGGTGACTGACCACTCGAAGAACTTTGCGTTTGAGATGGATGCAGATGCTGTGCTTGACGCCCACTCAGGGGAGGTAATTGCTGTGGGTGAGAGTAATAGTTTGATGCATGATGCAGAAGCCCTCAGTTAAGAGGATTTCCATCTGCGGTTGGAAGTTGTCTGGTTGCTATCTTAAGCCGCTGCACTTCTTCTCTCATAGCTTCATTCGGAGCTGCATAATAACAGAAGATTATTGATCAGTAACCTAATGCCACCAAGACAACCTTTAAGATTTGTGCCTCTAACAACCTTATATTAAAGAGGGAGGATTGCCAAGAACTTCGTGACTAGGAAAACCTTGTATTAAAGAGGGAAGCCAAGCTACCAAGCCCTTGGCATCTCATGCCACATTGCTGATTGCGGGTGCTATGTCAACAGTTGACCTTTTATAGTTCTTAGAAAGTCTCAAGTCCATAAAAAAAATTTGCATGGATGGTTGATAAGTTAGCGCAAATCACAAAAGACACCACCTGTTTATGTGCCTTACACAGTAGAAATTAATTTTTTGCATGTATATCCCTATAAGAGGATTGCTTGTTTTCAACTACAAGGAAACTCAATTTGATGTGCATCAGTAGCCTCCAAACTGTCATCAGGCAGATAATGCTTCATCTAGTTTAATTACTAAAGAGAATCAATGTAATCTTCTGCCCATTCAATGGTATATCTAGCTAGGTAATTACAATCCTTTTATGTTAGTCAACATCTTAAGCTTGAAATGGAATAATAAAAAGCCGAATACTAATTAAGCCTAAAGAAAAAAACATCAGATAGTGTTTAGGACACATACCATCACGGAGTTGGGCCTGTTGCTCCATAGCCTGCAACCGCAGTTTGTGTTCTCTGTTCTCGGCATTCAAATCTGTATTGTCTCTCTGCATTAGCATTAAATCATTGTGAACATCAAATAAATGATTAAAACAAGAAAGTGTTTTAGTTTTGATCTTGTGGAAACAGCAAGAAATGTGATATAAACAGAGATCAAGATTCATGTTGTTTTCTATAATCCCAAAACTTTGATGAAAAATCATAAAATTCAGAGAGATAATCCTTGGTGCGATCTTGGTCTTTAAGTATCATTCTGAGTGCGAGATCTCTTTTCCCACCTGAGAACTCCGATTGGATGGAATCCATAGTGTCATGAGGGCTTAAGAGGGCAAGATAAAATCTCACGGGATGTGATACAATAAGCTACGGGAAAACCTAAATTATCTTTATGTTTTAATCCCTTCTATATCATATGCAATTAGATCCAGAAAAACATAGGGCATTACAGCATAAGATATTGATTGGTTAGTATGTTCTATTTTTATGTATTGCGACCAAACATTTCAAAAACTACACAATCTTTGACTTAACAGTTATGCAATTCTTTTTCCGTAAAAGTTCAATGTTTTTTTACATAAACAGATTTGACATTCAATTCTCTTAGCTGCAAGTTGTCTCTACAGTGCCACTGAAATCATCATCGGCATATTACCAAACACACAAATTTATCTTAATTGAATAGATCAAAGTTTCCATTGGTCAAAGTAGATGAAATTACAACTCCAATCTCTAATTATGCAGAATTGTGAATATATCTCAATCCAAGCGGAATCAATAAATCCTAACTATTCCTGAATGAAATGATAAGTATGCATATACTTTCAATAGAAGAGTCACTGACAGTACTGTGTCCAAATGAGATCAAGCAAAGTCGGAGCCGATCATGAAGGAAATCACCGAGAGCAACACCAATCCAGCTTAGCTTATGGTGACACAGAATCAACAAATTATATGCAGCACAAAACTTGTGTCCATCTCCAAACCACAAAACTGCAAAAGCTAGCTGCTAGCTCATACCTGCAGAAGTGTGAGCAGGGCAGAAAGAGTGGTTGCCTCTGTCTGAAGAATTTGCACCCTTCATTCCAAGTTCACTTGTGAAATGAATCTTCCTCTCCTTCGAACGAGCAGCGGATTGCCTCTTCAAAGAATCCTATAACAAGAAAAAAGAAAAAATATCTTAAAAGTGTAGATAAATGCAACCTAAAAAGACTAAAACACAAACTCAAAAAGAATACAGATGGTTTTATAGTATTTTAGGGAATAACAAGATCATATTTTTTTCTACAAGAACTTCTAAAAAGAACTAAAAACAATCACATTCCAGTAAATCTTACTGGAATCAACCATAGTTCGAGAAAAAGCCTCGATAACATGTAGAAATTAGTAACGAAACATCCATAGATCGACTAAAAAGTCGAATTAAACAACGTGGAACGCAAAGAAAGGCCATTTCTTGTGAGGTAAAAAAAAGGGGCAAAGGAATTGAGAGAGAGAAAAAACAACACGCCTTTTTGCTCTCTTGGGATCGATCAACGCCAACTCCGCGAGCTTATCGGCCGTCGTCATGGCCTTCTTCGCGTAATCCGAAAGAGGAGGCGTCGACTCCCCATCGAACGGCCATATCGAGCCGCTCCGCCGATTGTGCCCCTTCCTTTCCTGCGCCCCGCCGCCACTTCCGGCCACAGTGCCCGCCTGGAATCCCAAGCTATCGAAGAACGCGGCGCCCACCGAGAAACTGCGGAGATGGGCCCCGGGGACAGGCCTACACGCAACCGCAGGCTGATCCGACATCCCGGGCTCCGCGGAAAGCCCACCGCCCACGGCGCCTGCGTCGCCGCCGGAGACGTTGTCGTCTGAGAGCGAGGCGAAGTCGATGTCGGGATCGGTGTCGTAGAGAATGTCGTCGGGGAGGCGGAGGAAGGTCTAGGAGTGAACCCGCCTGTTTCGGCGGCAGGTGGCGCGCCGGTCGCCTCCATCGCTCGGGTCCACGCGTCGAGTAAGTTCATCGGAACCGCGTGCGGACCTCTAAGCAGCCGCATGCGAACGCAAGCACCGGGCAAATAGCACTTCTTTTGGCTATCATCATCGCTCTACTCCCTCGGTCACCTCTCCTGTAATTGGAGGAAAAGTCGGACCCATTGGGCCCCACATCGCCTCCCTAAGGATCACGGTATTTGTGGTAGTCAAAACTGCGCGTCAAACTTGGCGCCATGCAGAACACCGCTTCCTCGGCGACGTAATCATGGACCGTTCGATCAGAGCGAGATCAGAGCGACGAGAGGTGAGGCGGGAACGACTTCGGGGACTCCGATCCAAAACGATCTCGATCGGACGGTCGAGATGAGAGAATGCGGTCCACGTGTTCATCCCACGAGTTGGTTCAACCAAACCAGGAAGCCACGAACAATTCGTACTCGGAATCGTACCGTGGTCAACATCTTGGCACGTCATCAGTAGTTACCTGAGACATGGAAGTAATCTACATCATCTGCTGCCTTCTTCAGAGGTCAACAATGTTCCTGAGAGTTGCTATCAATGGTCAGTGTGTTTACTAGCTGAGCTAGCACACATCTTATGTCATCCATTTGTCACTCATCTCATGGAAAAAAATTAATATTGATAATTTCATACAATTATTTTTATTAAGCAACATATATATAATATATATTTGTATCATTTAAAAATCATTATGATGATAAAAACATTATAACTACTTTTTAGATATTCTATGCTTTGTATGTATTAGTTTAACTCAAACTAATTATTCTTTATCATAGTTAGAAGTAATTACCTTAAGTTCTTACATTATGTATATAATTAATGTGCAAGGACAACTATATCTAATGGTCTCACCAGTCTAAGCAAAGAAAACATGAGTTTCATGCATCAGCAGCAGCAGCAGATGAAATGGGTGTTTTCATGCAGAAACTGAAGTCATTTCTGTGATTGCTCAGCAGATTTCATGGTACAAAGCATAGTATTTTGTTGGCCACTTGCATGCAGCTTATTCATTAAGAGAGATGTTTTGTTGTGATAGAGATAACATCATCACCCACTTGGTATTGTATATGCATTGAATGGCATCATCAATGAGGTGAGACAAACTTTAAACTTTGTAATCTAAGAAGAGTTTGGCAGCCACAAGCCTCCTTAAAAGAAGTCCAGTTGACCAAACAAATTGACTGTTCCATGCATGTCTTCTGCAAACATTAACCCTAGTTTTGTATTTGTTTAAGGAGGAGAAGGTGGATGCATCTGCTACTTTTGACTCCTCAGCTGATGCATGGCTGATAGCAAGAAGTATCATTTGAAATTTATATTTATATTTATATTGGAAGTTCAAATTTAATATTTAAGTCCAGATTAAAAAAAGATGAAGAATTATATTAAATTATCAACAATTAATATAAACTTATATCTTATAAGCATGAATCTCAAATATATTTTATAAAATCAAATGATGATAAAAAAATCCTTATAATTGAGTTGGGAATGAGAGTTTAAACTTATTTGAAAAACAATTCCCTTTTTTAGATGTTTCTAAAAAAATAATGAAAAACAGTAGTTTAATCAAAATCATATTTTTATTTGCCATTGATGATGGCATCATTTTGGTAGGGAGGGATATGTTTTCCATGGAAATTTGGTGAGAAAAGAAAACAAGGTGCTGTGTTGCATGGAATTCACTACTAAGCCATGCAATTAGTCTTGGTTGGACGCCACAAGGAGTTCCTACTCGTACAGGGTACGAGCATCACGTGTTTCTTTATTCTACGGACTAGGAGACTTCCACAGCACCGCGTACCTTATTAGCGTAGTTTCAACGCGTGGTAGTAAGATTTCCCCGCCGCCCGCCCTCCCTCTCCCCTCATTTATCGTTCCACAGGGGAGTAAAAAAGCGTTCCTTTTTGGCACGATTCGCTCATAGGCGGTGAATCATAACATTCGTCCCCCACAAGATCGCGATTTTGGCTTGCTCCCGTAGCGAAGGCGTGGATTGGCACCTTGCGGAGTCCACATTCGTTCTTGTCTCCTCCATTTCCAACTTGTTTCTTGGGTTCTCTTAGCGTGTCGGTCTTGGCGTCCTGATCTGGAGTCACGCCGAGGGTTCTTCGTGGGAATCTGGTTCTGAGCTCCGGAGAGCAGGTTTGGTGGTCGTCTTGATCGAATCCTAGCCCTTATTTGTTTTTCTTCGCGTAAAGTCCTGATTTTTATGTGATTTTCCTGTGCTTAGTGCGCTAGGGTTTGATCCTCGATCCGAGAATGAACATTTGATGGATGGAGATGGTTCTTTCTGAGATGGCTAGGTTGATATGAAGAAATGTGTAGGAGATTCAAGAAAGGTGGAATCTTTATGCGATATTTCTGAGTTCTGAATACTTTTGGGGAACTGGAGCTTTGCAAGGACGAATTATTGATAGATTTAGCTGGAGGAAATCGGTAATATCGATCCGGAGGACTTGTTTCTGAAGGCCAACAAATGGAGGAAAACTTGCCCGCTGGAAGCATGATGCCAGGAGTTTCTTATGGTGTGCTAGGTTTGCAAGGACACATGCACAGCCATCAAGGCTCGATGATCCACTCGTCGATGCATGATGCTTTCCCCACGTCAGCCCAGGAATTTAATCATCGAGGATTCATGGATTATAATAAAGGAGAACGTGGTAAGACCTCTGTGAGCGATGAGGATGAGCCAAGCTTGAATGAAGATGGAGTTGATGGTCAAAACGAGGCTGGAAAAGGGAAGAACGGCTCCCCATGGCACCGGATGAAGTGGACCGATGCGATGGTGAGGCTTTTGATAACTGCAGTTTCTTACACAGGGGAAGATGTTGCTTCTGAGTGTGGTGGCAGGAGGAAACATGTGATACTGCAGAGAAAGGGGAAGTGGAAGGCCATATCAAAAGTGATGGCCCAGAGAGGTTGTTATGTCTCACCTCAGCAATGTGAAGATAAGTTCAATGATCTCAATAAGAGATACAAGAGGCTCACTGATATTCTTGGTAGGGGCACATCTTGCAAGGTTGTCGAGAATCCATCACTTTTGGACCACATGAATAACCTCTCTGAAAAGTCAAAGGATGATGTGAGGAAGATTTTGAGCTCAAAGCATCTTTTCTATGAGGAGATGTGCTCATATCACAATTGTAACCGGTTGAATTTACCTGCCGACCCAGCACTTCAACGATCACTTCAACAGGCACTTAGAAGTAGGGACGAGCATGACACGAGGAGGAGCTTGCACGAAGATATCGATGAAGGAGATCAAGGTGCTGACAGTGATGACGAGGAAGGTGATGTTCTAGAGCGTAATGCATTGCATGGTGACTTGGTGGCATCGTGCTTTCCGAAAAGGATAAAATTTGGGGTTGACCATCAAGAAGTGGTTCTAGGGAACCCTTCAGTTTCACAAAATTGTTGTAGAAGCCTTCAATCTCCAGGCTTAACTGTAGATATGAACCAAGTATTTTCAGAAGGATCTCAATCCACACTGATGCATCACCGGTGTAATTCCTATCCACTTCAGCTTGAAGAGAAGAGATTGTATATTCAAGCTCAGATGCTGGAACTCGAGAGACAACATTACAAGTGGCAAAGGTTTAGTAAGAAGAAAGACAGAGAACTAAACAGAATGAGGCTGGAAAATGAACGAATGAAACTTGAGAACGAACACCTATCCCTCGAAATAAGGCAGAAGGAGTTAGAGTTGGATGTTATTTTAAAAAGACAGCAGTGAATCATCGTTATTTGATGGAAATGATTGAATTTCAAGTGTTCAGTAAGGTAAGCTTAGGTGAACCGAGTAGTTAGCTCGTTCTGTAGACTTTGTTTGGTGTTTTTGCAAAACAATGTACCAACAGGGGAATTTATGATAGTAATTATCAAACTTCCTTATTTTTTTATGTTTGCAACTATTGCACCCTTGATCCGAGTTGTTCTTTTTTTTTCCCCTTCAATTCAGTTATGGAGACGTTGGTAGTTATTTTGACGTGTTTGTTTTTGCCTATTAAAGTTACAATCAGTTTTCGGTTTAATGTAGTTCTGCTAATTGATCTAGAATTAGGAAGACATTTTTTTCCTCCTTGTTCAGGTGCAGACAACATAGCACCTTATTATGTCAACCAGGTTCCAAAGGAACCTGCATAAGTATATTATAATGAATTACCATGCACCTGAAAATTGTATTGGACGATGTCAATTTTGGAAAGATATGTGGGCTGAAGCAGAGACTCCTTGAAAAATTGCCAACGAGCTGGCAATATCGATGTCTAATATTTGGTATTTTAGGAGTTCAATTTTCTATCTCCGTATTCAAAGTCGACTAAAAGCGCAATGAGCTCTTCCTCATTTAACTATATACTTTCTTCTTACCAAAAGGTAATATCTAGTGCATGGTGCTCTAAGCATGTTCTTTCATATTATCATATTTTTCTCATGTAGCAGACTTTCAGATACTTAGATCTCTAAGCTGTTCGAGATTCAATTCATTTCCTATAAATTCTATGGCTTGGTTACCTTTCTTGCATTTCGATAGAGTAATCTCTATTTATGTATTTATTTATTTTCTTTAGCTTTTCAGGACTAAAAAAATTCTGAAGTACCTGTTAGCAGGATCTTTGGCGTAACTATAGAGATATTTGTGATTACCTTACATGTGACCACTTTTTGTTTAAAGCGACAACCTAACAAAATATCTTGATTTGTTATATCTTTGGCTAAGGATGTGGCAACTTGAAGTTATGACAGAATGCTCTGTTGGAAGGTGGAAGTATCATATCTTCTGATCTGACAATAGGTTTATGGAAAATGTGTGTGATCTTTGTATTCAATTATTATGTGGTGAGGCATAATAGCTTTGAGTTGAATAAGTTCCAAGGAGGCTTCAATGAAGAAGATTATTTTGCTTGAGAAGGTTGAGTGTATCCTTACCTGCTGATGTTCTACAGTCTGAAACTTGGACTTGTCAATCAAGTTGTTCTACATTCTACTCTGTGTCAACATTATCTTTTGTGCAGGCAGTTATTAGCCAAATATCGCGATAAAGAAGGTGTAGAGGTTGTATTTGTCTTAAGCCATTTGTAGATCAAAGCATACTGCATATGGTTTCTATTGCGCATTGTGTGATTCCAACACTGGTAAGAAGAAGAGTCTGTGTAATTACCAACACTGGTAAGAAGAAGAGTCTGTGTAATTACCCTATGGAACTTTTGTTTCAGTGATATGTTCTGAATGCAGAGGATGTCTTTTCCCACCCTGTGATGAACTCAAGACACTTTGATCAGCTTCCAATTCCAGAGGCAGCACCATCTTCTCATCACTTCAGCTGTTTACTACTTGATATGAAGCATTCAAGCAAGTAGAAGAGCCTCATTGTGATGTGGCTCATATTAGATTGTGTTCTTTTGGTTTGGCTCATATTAGATTGTGTTCTTTTGGTTCTTGATGTAGAGTGTTAGTGAACTAAAGCATCGTGGCCGATGAGTCAGCACAATTTGGTCCACGGGTCGATGTTGGGAGTTTCGAGATCAGTTTGGCGAGGCGCCGAGGGTGGCTTTGTCCACAAGTCGGGATGCCGACGCCATACGAGGGAAAGCGCTTCACGATCGGATCACTGGCGTCGTCTTCGGGGAAGTCATCTCTCGGTTGGGGTAGTCGCACTTTCGGGGTGGCAGCGCTCCTGCACAGAAGGCTCTCGTCGGGGAGTTCCCGACTTTGGCCCCTCGACGATTGAGTTAGTGGTTGATTCTCCCTTTTCTTCTCTTTTTTCTCCCCTGGCTAGATGCCGATCAGGTGCTTTTATACTACTACACGAGGATCGACCACTACTACACGAGGATCAACCGTACGTGGGTTTGGCGCAGTGATCGATTCCCGAGGGGCGAGGTGGTATCTTTGTGCAGTCGTCGTCTCGGACATTCAGGGACGACGTTAGGCGACGTCGTCCTTAGCTTTTCGAGACGGGACGTATCGAGGGGTGCCTCGGCGTGGCTTCTGACTCGGCACATGGGGGTCCCCCCTCGTGCCGAAGTAGCAGAGGCACGGGTGGTGACATGGCTGGAGTCCAAAATATATCTTATCACATAGTATTAATACAAATTATCTGTATTATTTATTATCTAATTTGGCTTAGTCGTATGAACAGTCGCATGTATTGATGATGTCTTCGGTTTATTGTCGTATGATACTCGTATGCCGGTAAATGTACTTTTCTGTCTGCCCCATTTGCACCCAGGCAGGGTCCCAGGCCGTGGCCCACCTTCCACTGAGGTGGTACGCTTCTGGGTGTTTCCCGGAGTGGAGAAACTTCGGTTTCCTTCGTCTATATCACCTTGGCTTGCTGCTTAGCGAGACGGGGCGGGAGTGTGAGCGCGAGTAGGGGAGAAGCATGGGAGCGTGCGCGACGAAGCCCATGGCGCAGGGTGACGCGCCCCCGCCGATGGAGCCGGATCCCCAGGTGGAGGATGGCGGCGGAGGGCAGGAGGTCGAGCAGGGGCCGGGCCCGGCGCCGGATGACAACCGCCGGAGATCTCTCGGCGAGCTGTTCAAGGTGCGCGTCGCTGCCTTCCTTCCTTCCTTCCTTCCTCCTCCTCCTCCTCTGATTTAGGCGTCAGTGGCTCTTTTTTCTGATGAACGAGGAAAAAAGTTGCGATCTTTATACCTCTTTGGCATCTTCTGAAGATTCTATCTCGACTTTGGATCTTATTTGGTGCATTTAATGAGGGAAAGTTCTTAATTTGTATGTGATCTCATCATCTCAGATCTCCAAAACCACCAATCGATTACAACCATTGGCCGCTGGTAAAACTTCACAAGCAGCATAGTAAATATATATATAGATGAGGGTGACAGCAAGCAAAACCTCTGCCTTTATTGTGCTAGGCAAGACCACATGCTTATTGAATTATTGACTGGCTTGCTACTTTGGAAATATCTGGATGATGTAAAGTTCTCGCAGTAGAAGCTCCATGTCGATTTTGTTGTGCAATCAACCTAATAGTCTTCTGATACTATCCCATGGATTTCGTTGAGAACAGGAAAATTGCAAGTTGCTTATTGATGTCAATGTTTCAGCGTCTGCTACCATGAAAAACTATTAGTGTGACTTGTTGTTGGGTGTGCCGTGAATTCCAGTCGCATCAGGACTCCGCTACCGACAATGTCATGAGAAAAAGAAAGCTAATTGGGGTGAAAATAAGTGGTCTGAGATAGTAGTGGATGGCTTGAGCCTGTTGGTCCAAAGTTTCTTGTTAGGTTTTCTTTTGTATTCCATACTTGGGATTTTGGGGTCATATGTGTGTCCATACTCTTCATCTTCTGAGACAATGCACCTTCTTCATCTTCGCCCCAAAAATATAAATTTATTGTTGTTTTCTCTTCATTTATGTCATCTCTGTGCTTTTTTTTTTTGAACTTTGACTAATGAGACACTTGTGAGCTCAAGAGGAAAACCTTCCTTGCAAGCTTTCATGCTACTCAATATCCCTCCTAGTTTAAGTCTTAAGAGAGCAATCATGAGATCGGAGTATGCTGATTTGGACCCATCACATTAGAAAAAGGATACTACTTTCATAGGAAAGTGGTTTACATGCACATAAAGATTCTGGAAGGTCACTGCAAATTTTTTATAGGCTCCTAAGACAAATATATTCCAAGTAGGTGACATAGCATTTAATTCTATGGTGTGACAAGGCCCACCTGATAGGTGCTCCTTGTCACCCACTTACAGGTAGCAACAAGTACTCTGAGATGAAACTTTTTATGTTGTGGTTAGTTCCTGTTTGGGTCTTTCATGCCCTTTGTGATCAATGTGCTAGAATTTGTCTTCAAAGAGCGCTAGAATGCAAATCTAACATTGACATCTAAATAGCAATCTATAGTGAATGTGGCACCCTTGCTTCCGAAGATGTTTAAGACTGCAAAATTAAGGTGTTTCTCTGCTAATTGATATAGGCAATTCCTGAGTTTTCTATACAAAATGATTGACACCCAGATCTTCATTGGATTCTGCAATAGAAGTTATAAATTGCATTACATTGGCATTTATGCCCACCCTTACAAAAATCATAAACTGACAAAATTCACTCTGTAGCCAATAAGTATCCCAAGCTTTAGTTTTGTCCTCCACCACTTCTGAACTTCTCTTTCATAAGTGGAACTCATTAGATCTATTGTCAGTGCGAACTCATAGATTGGCTGTTGGATGTACTATGTGCCTTATCTTATTTCTTCCATTTTCAAACCTTACTGAAAGGTTATGTTTTACACATGCTTTTCACATTAACAATGAATCACAAAATTGGCATAGAGTATATAATATTGGCAGGAAACTTATTAAATGGTTGGTCCTTTATTGCATGATGCCCTGATGGAGGACAATCTGTATGCTTAGCAAATAAAAAGATTCTCTTAAAGAACCAGCTACACTTATTTTGTTATTTTATAAAAGCAGAGGAATATAGCTTTAATCTGAAATGTGAGAATTCTTTGTTTTCATTTTTGGGAGATGATTGTACATGCCTTTTCTTTTAGGGTTAATAATGCTATCCTTAATCCAGTAAAATATCTGAGCATTTTGACAGTGACCACACAATTAATTGGAGTTTTTTTCTTTAGCTTTATGAAGGAGACTTATTCTTTTAATTTTCTCATAAAGGCTGGTGGTTGTCTTTTTAGCACATGCTCTCAGGACCTCGTATGTTCTTTCAAGTGCCAGCTCTTTTACTTTTTTCCATTCATCTATCAAATTGAAAGGTCCAACCCTTCAGATGCTTGTGCCCACCTACTTTATAGCTTGTGGTTTACATCAAGGGTTGATCCCACTAGATATCATTACTGTGACATACTCCACAATCATGCCTGTACGTGATTAAAGATATACCTACCTTCTTTTCTGCTTTAGTATTCTAGCACTCATGATCACTTCCAACCATAGGTTCATCTTCATTTTGTAACCTTTTAATGTATGAGGTGTATCACTGTGACTTAGAAGCCAGAAAACCGAAGATTGTCCAGTTTTATCATTAGTTCATTAACAGTAAGGCATGGTTAAAGCTTGTACCAATTTATTATAACACACATCGTTTAAACCTGGAGTGTGTAAACCCTGTATGTAGGTTTAGAAACTTCTGTAAAATTTTTTGACATAAAAGAGGCATTGAATCATTCATTCATGGGATAAGAAAAGTATAAGCACATAGGATGGATGATACTTCATTCGACATACAATCATCATAGCACAGAACACAAATAAAGAGCAACAGCTACTGCGATGTCAGTTTAAGGCTTTCCACGTATGCAGGAAATAACCCTGGTAACTCGAAGTTAAATGAATATGGCAAATGTTTTAACACATATCACTCTTCTCCAACCTGAATCTCACAAATTTGAAAATCTAGAGTTATCCAATAAGTACCAAAACGATAGAATTTTATTTTTTTATGGCCCTTGCTGATGTGTAATCTTGGTGGTGCAATTTTCAGATCGGAGGTGCTTCCAGTTGAAAGTAACTCTCAGCGACTCCCACCATAACATTCTGTGTCCTGGATTCCATGTCTTGTGATACCCATGAACTTCTCCGTCTAACTATATGAAATTATTTCTGATCTAAATTCCATCCTTCTCGTTAGCGATTTGATAACTGAATATATATTTCATTTATAGGTCAGAATGTGCATATGTTTTTATCTTGTCTATTCAATATGACGACAGTACAAACTTTACAAAAGCTATACAAATTCAAACTAACACTAATTGAAAATGCTATCTTAGCAGAACGAAGAGGTGATCAGATCCTCTGAGACTGATAAGAATGTCGTCTCAGAGACTGTTACACCAGAACCTATGGAAGTGAAGGAAGAAGTAATTGACAACAAAGCAATCGATGAGGCTGTACTGCATGAAGCAGACAAGCAACCCACCGAGGTACCTAAAGCCGAAGCAGAAGCTGCTGAAGCTATCTCAAACTCGACCCCACAGGAGACGTCTGTTCTTCCTCCGGCATCGGATTCTGAAGTAATCACAGCAGATGTGGAACCACTGGGTTCAGAAGTGAAAGCCCAATTGGATACTGGCAAGGTGGAGGCTGTGGAATCTAGCCCGACGGAAGGAGGTCCAGCTGCCTTGGAGAAGAAAGATGTGTGAAGGCTTGTTTAATGTATCGATGTTGCATGTAGCTGCTGCATCTCACCGTCTGTTGTCTGTTCAGTTGTGTTCTTTTCTTCTGATTCGAATCTCGATTGCATTGTAAAATTCATTGTTGTTATTATTTATTTCGCCTTCTCGCTTTCCGTAGTAAAAAAAGGCTATTCTCATATGTATCACGATACGACCTTTATAATTAATTCTTGTAAATTTTCCTGGTTGAGGAGAAGGAAGCTCTTGAATTTGTACTAATCTTACATGTTGATGGTTGAGGTTCTGTAAGTTCCGTTTAAATTGGTATGGCCTCCATCACTTCATCACAATGTTTTGATCTTTTCTTTTAATTCTTAAACCAATGGCTATTGTGTTAGCTAAGATAACATTTCCATTAGATTTCAAACATCATTACATATCTCATTGTAAAGATAACATCAAAGTGGTTCAATTCATGTTGCTTCCTTCTGCGATTGTGAATTTCCATCTTCTACTGAGGCCTCACAGGTGACACTCTCCTTGTTCTTTCCCCATAGAACACAATAAAGGCCTCCGACCATTAGCAGCCCACCTAAAATACTGAAACCCAAGTGTTTATCAACACAACAGTTAAATCAACTAAAATGATCGATCATCATGCAAGAAGGAAATCAACCAGGTCATGTGTTCTCTACCTTCCCAGAGAAATCATCTCTCCTAGAAAAATAGATGAACATATGATGGTGAAAACAAGAGATAAAGGTGTGAAAACTGCCAGGAAGACAGGACCCTTCTTCTCTATGCACCAAGTTTGTATGTAGAAAGCAACTCCTGTCACCACAAACCCCTGTCATGCATTCAACGTATGATTCATACTGTCTTTCTCGTTTTGAGGAATGCAATGGATGACCGCAAAAACAACACCACTTTGGCTGGCAACAGTATTCATTCATCCAATATTCATCTACACTTACACAGTAGAGGATGGCAAGCAGGCCGACATCCAGCTGCAGCTTCCACTTGGAGGTGTCTCTCTCAAACGCCATGGCAACGAAGATCGACTGAAGTGTGGCGAAGAGGCACTCGAGAGTGGTGAAAAGAAGCTTGGATGTGTACTCCCTCATCAAGATCCCCTGTGCAAAGTGATGGATGGTTAAGTAGCACCATGGAGATGGAGATGGAGGGTTGTGGAGGCTGATCACCTGTAGGACCAACCACAGAGACCAGGTCATGGTGGCAGTGATGACGAAGAGGGTTCCTTTGATCCAGGTGGTCTTGGAAACAGCAGGCTCCTCATCTAAGTGGCTCATCCTGTGGTGGCCGGAGGGGAAGTGAAGGTTCAAGGGGTGGATGCGAGGTCCTCTGTAGAGGGCAGTCATCACAACTCCAGCCAGGCAAAGTGCTACTCCCAGTGCTTTGCCTACTCCCGAGAAGCTCTTCATCTTGATGCTCTCCATTCTGTGGCCACATCAACGAAAACCTGCGTTTGAGAGAGAGAGATTCTACTACAACATGATGCAATGGAAGTATAAGTTTCTGATGCTTGCTTGGCATAGATGATCAATACTGCTTGCAATCTCAATCTCAGGGCTTCATATGAATAAAGCTAGAGAGCATTATCATCACTGGACTATACTTCATAAATACTAAAAATCGAATTTTTAACTCGAGAGATTATAAACCACATTAGAATTAAGAGATAATCTAAATAGTTTCATAAGGATCCCATAAGCCTAGCATTAAGTATAGTGAGAGAACAACAAAGGCTTTGTTTCGGAGTAGAATCCAAAACAAAATATATATGTGGATCATGATGTACTTGATTTGACTCTTACCTAAATCATGTTTTCCTGTTTTCTTAGCTGAGCTAACCTGTTTTGATCTGACCTGACTCATTAATTTTTGGAGTGGTGAGACCACTGAAAGTTAAAGACCACAGATAGATGATCATGGCCACGTTGATTAATAATCACCTGCCCCACAAATGATTACCCTTTTGGAGTTACGAAAGCTGACCACCTTTCTTCATCATTTCTCATCATGATGGAGAAACACAAGTTGTCCGATTTCCATGATGATTCCCTCTACCCTAATATATAATTCTCTCTATCATTGCATCGACGTGATCTCTTCAGTACATAAGCGAATTGTATGATTAGAAGAGCAAGTCACACACCTGAAGAGCACAGCAAAAAAGAAGGTAAACACTGGTACTGAGTTCGTAGTTGCTGAGGCCACCGATGCCGAAGTATACTTCACTCCCACGTTATACAAGTTCAAGCTGAAGGTAATCCTAAAACACCCCACACGCACCCCATTAATCTCTGTCACAGACACACCTCAAGCAGTAGCAGAAACTGATGCCGATTAGAACGCATGCACGTACCCTAACATTGCATGCATGAACAGCTTCAACGCTGTCATCACCGTCAGCGGCGGAGACCTCCTCCTGAGATCGGGAACCGAGCTGATGAGGGACTGCAGCTACAGCAAGAAGAAGAAACAAAGAGGGCGACAGAAGAACTATGTACCTCTCGAAGATGACAGCGAGCGGTGCAAGTAACAGTGAGGCAGCTGCGTGCCGGTAGAAGATGAAGACGAAGGTGCTCAAGCCCTTGTCGAAGGCAGCCTTGGATATAACGAAGTATCCGGTGGACGTGAGCTGTAAGAGGACTGCAGCAACATAGGGTTTATGTGCAGCCATGGGTGGCCAAGAGGCGATGAGTGTCTTCCTTAAGTAGAGCGATGAGATGACCCGCTTCAACTTGCACTCAACATTGAGCATGCATGGAGATTGCACTCACAAGACACCATGGTGCTGCATTGGACAAGATCGGAGAAAGCTGTTCATGCATGGAGATTGCACTAAGCAAACTGTGAATAGCAAGAGACCACCATAGCGCTGTGACAAGATTGGGTAATGCTTTTTGGAGACCTAATATTCTTGAAGAATATGTAGATAGCTTTATGGTTTATAAACAATATTTAATTTGCATTGTGCATATGTTCTTAGCTTCTGTGGTCAGATACAAACAAGAGTGTTAATTTTCCACAGACAAAGAATATGCTGAGGAGATATGTTTGATTTGCTTCTATTTTTGTGTTGGCTATTGTTCATGTTCTTCCACATTGTCACATACAAAAAAATCCCTGATAGAAAAGGACATGATTTGCTGTCTATTATTAATGAATTCATGCTAATGTGCTTTGCTTCCCTAAATTAAAAATCTACTTTAGTCTCTCAAAGAAAGAAAAGAAATGTACATTAACATCTCATGAAAAGAAGGCAGAGAAGACAAAGGGAATATGTGGATAAAGAATCCAAGCAGAATCTGAGAGAAGATGTATTGAAGAAATAGAAAAGAGCATAGGATGTGTATAAATTGGATTGTGGGACACACATCACTTCTTTAAGAGCACAAGATGCGTAGAAGATATTGACAGGATCTAAGAGAGCACAACTGTCTGGCATTGTCGGATATAGAACTCATGGAATTCATGTAAAACCCCCCAAAGGACAGTCAATGCCTCCTAAGAAAAGAAGATTAAGTGAAGAAACTATGGTGCTAATTAGCATGATCACATGTGATGACAAAATTAAACTCCCAGCTTTTGACTTGCAATCTTTTGATTAGAGCTTACATAGATATGCTTGCATATCATAAAGTAGTCATTAGAGAGAGAGAGAGAGAGAGAGAGAGAGAGAGAGAGAGAGAGAGATTGGAAATCATTAGTGTGATCTTCCTATTTGATCTAATTTGCCAATCTATATTATGCAATATGATTTGGTTTGGATCTCAAAAGAAAATGATTTAAATTTATAATTCTTTAAAAACTATTGATGGATTATTCTTGCTTTCTGAAGAATCAAATTTATTTTAACTTTAAAACTCCACTGTAATCATTGGTTTTCTTTGGTCATTATCTTTATTATTCTAATGTCTCAACTTTGTTGCAGGCATATTCAGTGTGTTTGATTTATAATTTTCCAAATGGGACATCTAATCCTTTTTCTTAAAGGCACCATATTAGATACCACCTGAGGAAAAGAATTGTCTGATACTTTTTGATAGGTGTTTGTACATGGTGAAGAGAAAAATCTTCCTGTCTCACTCTAAGCTTTGGGAAAGATTCATGGTGAGTCAGTCTTCTTTTTCTATCCCTTGGTCATGGTTGTCTTCCTCACCTTCCACAATGAAAGGAACAGTTGAGCACCAGTGGCAGAGTGTCGAATGGGAAGGACAGAGAGGGTGAGTACTTGCACATGGAATCCACAAAAGGAGGTGCGCTAGGAAAGTCAACCAAAGAATAATTATAGAGATTACAGGATGTTTCATGCACTTCAAGCATGGCCAGAAGCCAAAACTAATGAGAGAGTTGGGTGTTTGGGAAGATAATGGTGACAGCCATCGAGTGGTGGACAGATGCCTCATACAGTTCTGACATGGGAGACAAAGCACAAGAACACAATGCCAATCGTCTCTCATTGCTCCAACTCCAAGATTCTCTCACATGTTTGGGAAGGGGTTCTCAAGTGCTGCTACCGGATTGAAAGGAGCTTATGCTTACTGCCGTTGAAGAAGAAACAGAGCTTTTAGACGTCGACAGAGCTTTTACCTCGGCTGATTCCATTAGGCTTTGGGTGGGGAGTGATGAAAGGTTCTTTCTATCTCTGCTTTAATTATACTAACCTTTTTCCTTTTTATATCTGTGAGTGATGTAATATTGACTTCCTTTTCAGAGATAATTAGCAACAAAGAGATGGAGTTCAGTGGTGGCATTGGTTGCAGACACCTGTAGTTGCAGTGCTGTTGATATGTCTTATGCTTTAGATGATGATGTTGATATGCATCTATTACATGAGAAGATTAATAGGGATTGTTGTTAGTGTCAACACATTATAACTTCAGATTCCAAATAAGTACATATTATTTATATATATATATATATATATAAAACTACAAATACTATGATAAAGGCTTGCATCACTTGTTGCTAACACAACATCAAAGTGGTTTAGTTCATGTTGATTCCTTCTCCTGCACAGGTGGTTTTCCATCTTCAATTGAGACCTCACAAGTCATGCTTTCCTTACTCTTGCCCCATAGAACACAGTAAAGGCCTCCAACCATTAGGATTCCACCTATGATACTGAAATCAAAATGATGACAAAGGATTAGATCACATAGATTGGATGGTGAATTCCAAAGACAGAATGAAAGCAGGCAGGAAGAGCTCACCTTCCAAGATAAATCATCTCCCCTAAGAAAATAGTTGAACATAACATGGTGAAAACAAGAGCTAATGGTGTGAAGATTGCAGCAAAAACAGGGCCTTTCTTCTCAATACACCAGCTCTGTAAGTAGAAAGAAACTCCTGTTATGACAAGCCCCTGCCATGCAATCAAAGTAGAATTCATTAGTGACAATCGAATCCAATTGACACCAATAATGCTTTTTCTTGCTCTGTCCAGCGAATTCCTTTCCAAAAGGATAATTCACCAAAGAATCTCTCTTTCTTGGGGAGGCCATCAGACTGTGTTCACCAATAAAAAGGTTTCATCCACTAGGATTAGATAAGATAAAGATTTGCAGTGTTGAGAATGCTTACACAATAGAGAATAGCAAGTAGGCCCATGTCCAAATGCAACTTCCACTTTGTGCTATCCCTCTCAAATGCCATTGCAACAAAGAGAGACTGAAAGGTGCTGAAGAGACTCTGGAGAGTGGTGAAAAGTAGCTTGGAGGGGTACTCCTTCAACACAATCCCCTGTCAAAGAGATGTGGGCTGGTATCAAACACTCCTATATTGCTGTCTTTAAATAGTGCAATGTGTGTCATGGATACCTGTAAGACTAACCACAGGGACCAGGTTAAGTTGGCGATGATCATGAAGAAGGATCCTTTGATCCAGGTGGCCTTGGAATGAGCCAGGGCATGATCTTGGTTGCTTGTACTGTGGCCATGGTGGGGGAGGAGATTGAAGGGATGGATATAAGGGCCTCTGTACAAGGCAATGGTGACCACACCAGCCAAGCATACTGTTACCCCCACTGCCTTGCATATTCCTGAGAGGCTCCTCATTTTGATGCTCTCCATTCTGGAAAGCAAAGTTGGACAAATCATGCATTATAAACCACATGTATGTCTGTGTACCTCAAAATCAACCATGAAGCTTTGGAAACAGAGCTTGATTCCACTGAATATGATGTATGATTTTTAAGAACATTTAGAAATCAGTGTGAGAAAGAGTTTTTGTCAGAGATGAATGCATTTCACTCATAGCCATTTGAGTTGCTTGAGGCTCTCAAACTTCCATGTAGGATTCCATCTCACTTTGATACTGTACATTATCAATTATTATGACAAGAGAAGACTGAATCTTCTCATTGGTTTCCATGTAGGTTTCCATCAAAGTGACAAAAAAGGCAGTGAACAAAATGAATCACAACCAATGCTTGCACATTAAGCCAGTGATTAAAGTGCCTCATCCAAGTTTGTCGGATCCTTAGGTTTGACAGTTTGATGCAAATGTTCTATCAACGATGACAACTTGTGAGAAGTGAGAGAAAGAGATTGATCGGTCAACTTATATGCCTGCTTTCTGATTCCATCAAATGAGATTCACATAGATAGGTGATTAGAAACTCTACAGCGTTCACTCTATTGCTTACTCCAACAAGAACAGCAAAAGGCTCTGCCATTGGCCTTAAGATTTCTATTTGGAAATTTTCAGCAATAAAGAAAAGTAGTCGAAAAGATCGATATCTAGCATAATGAAATTTGATCCTCCTCCTCTGCTGAAAATATTTGAATCTCTCTTTAATTCTAGTATTGTCTTTCTAAGTAAGCAGATAAAGTCGGCACAAGAGTCACAAACCTGAGGAGCACAGCCAAGAAGAAGGTGAACACTGGGATGGAGTTTGTAGCCGCCGAAGCCACTGATGCTGAAGTATATTTCAGACCGATGTTATACACGTTAAGGCTCCAAGTAATCCTGAAACGAAGCAAATCAACATTACATGGGGGGTTTATACTGACAGAAACCAGCAGCAGCTTATGCAGATCAAGAACATACCCAAGTAATGCAAGCAAGAACAGCTTCAATGATATCTTAAAGGTCAGCGGATGAGAGCTTTTCCTGAAATCAATAACCAACATGAAGTCTGCAGCTAAAGAAAGAAGAGAAACATTTCGGAACAAGTTCAAATCGCGATACATTTCCACCTTTCAAAGATGACTGCAATCGGCGCGAGTAGTACAGAAGCAGCAGCTTGCCGATAAAAGATGAACACATATGTGCTCATACCCTTGTCGAAAGCAGCCTTTGATATCACATAGAACCCAGCATACGCAATTTGTATGAGAACTGCGGCAACATATGGCTTGTTTGCTGCCATGACTCTCGAGCTTTTGCCTCACAGTTTCAAGGATGGAGCGCTCGGAGAAGAGGTGGGTGGAAGTGAGATGGGTGTCATCCTTTTGTATAAAAGGAGCGCTGGAAGCACCCACTTCGACTGTATATATGTGATGTGCACAGAATTTTCGCTGCTTTGAAAACGCCTTCGGAGAAACTTAAATCCCATCGATAGATTTACTTGTTCTAATCACTTGCAAATTTTCTTTGCTTCAATTATTAGATTTCCTTCATTTTTCTCGTCCAGCAGCATTCGGAGAATGAAAGCACAGAAAGCCCGGATATGTTGCTACAGATGATAAGCAGATAGGAAGCACTGTTCTAGCTATCACGTTTCATGCCAAATTACTCCTGCTTGAGTCCAAAGCAGCCGGCGATCATGGCTGTGACGGCATCGCAAACAAAGGAGTGTGATTATAATGCACCAGATGGTAGGATGGCTCACAGTGTTTGGTACCTTTGTGGGACATGAACTCAGAAAACATAGTGGGTCGCACCACCTGAGCAGCACTGCAGCTGCAAGCTTTCCTCTTTTAAGTGCATCGATCATTGCGATTACTACGCAAAACTGGTTATTTTTTAGAATTGGAATCTGCTGATCGGAGCTTAAGCCCAATTCTCGACGTGGATTTTGCCACACAAAGTTGCTTCTTCGACTTTAGTTTACATCATCATCATCATCATCATATTAGTCTTTGCTCCGCTATGACCCTCTCTCTCAAATATATCATTGATGCTGGTGCACAAGGCATCAGGTTGATATGGTTTGATATCCTACAGATAAACTAAAAGGAAGAAGACAGAAAAGAGAAATGAGAAGGCAGGATTCTTCTCTCTTTATCAAGAAAGCTTTTCAGTAAAGAAGAAAATGTTCTTCAAGAAAAAGTATATGGACCATTCATGGAACTGGCCAAGCTGCTACAGACCAAGGTGAAAGCAGCTACCTAGACCAGCTCTACTGCAAAGAAGAAGACTCATTAGATCTGTCCACACAAGTGCCAGAGGAATGTGAAAGGTGTGTGAATCAGAGGCCTTCCTTTCGGATTGCCCGAAGCTTGAGTTTGAGTGGTGGAGAAGAAGACTAATGACAGACTGGTAGTGAGTGGTCAACTGGCAAACCATCGCAGCAAAACTCCTAACATTGTCACAGCATCAAACTCTGAGATCTCTATCAGACTACAAAGCTTAAGTGGCGATCAACTGGAAAAGATGTGTCATTACCATATTCTCATCATATATGATGACAACTAACATCGATGCAGCCCCTAAATAATGTAAGCTTGTAAGTTCTCAACTAGGGTTGGACCTACATGCCTTAGCTAGCCACTAACTAGTTCACACCACTACATAGTGTGTGCACCTTTCCATGATCATGATGCACAGCACTCATCACCACCATCGCCAATCGGGATCACGAACGCATCTCGAAGCACCCATCGCAATCGTGATCCGCACCACACAGTGCTGCACGAGGAGACAACCACGGGTTTCAACAGCAGCGGCCACTGCGGAGGGGGACGTTTTCCTCAACGTGATCGAATCGAGCGGCCAGATCCGAAGTGGGACGTCGATCGTGGCCGTCGGCGTCGAAGGTAGTGGCTGGCTTCGGTTTGGCTGTCCTTGTTAGAATTCACCAGCTTCTTCATCTTCTTCGTCTGGTCCTGATCCTAGTACGGTGCTGCTGTTGAACAGCATCGACTTGTCCGCGACATGGCCGCCAGATTCGCATCACGCAGCTCCGACAACAGCTCAGGTGCCCCTCCCCCAACCTTCTGGTCTCAGAGTCAAGCATCAATGATGAAGCACCTCCAACAAGACGACTGACAACATGAAGACGATGATCACATATACAATTCGGGAAGGTTAAAGACGACAGGATCCATGTGCTTGGGTGGCGCATGAGACCCAATTCGACATGATCCATGTGCATGGGTGGCGCATGAGACCCAATTCCAAAAGGTGCGATGTGTTTGATTCTGCTGGGCTGGTGGTGCGTCGAGGTTGCAGCGAGGAGTTATCTCCATTACTTTCACCTGCTTGTTTCTAATCTTGGCAACCCTTGCTGCTAAATATCCAGTGGCACTGAGAGAGTAGTCGTTTTGGAGCACATCGGCCACCATGATTGGAGTTCTTCTTCATGCCCAACACTGCTGTCCAAGGAAAAAGAAAGAAGCATGAAGAAGAGTTAGAAAGAGAGACAGCTCAAGTCATGCGAGATACCACCACATGCAGCTGTTATCGTCATCGATACTATTACTACAATGGCAACAACAGGTGATATGGGCTTTGTAGCACCCACATTAGCTGACATGCGTGCACCGGAGATGATCTTCTCATTTCTCTTTCTGAATCCTTCCACAGCTTACAGGTGGATGCATTAACCAAGACAGTGCTGCCAAGATTTTTTTTCTTATCAACTTAGTAATGCAGATCACAGAAATTCCACAACAGATGAATCTGAGATACTAAATATTCAGCAGAAGTATTATATACACTACTTTTCTCCATGAGCTTGACTCTATAATTCACTAATATAGCAGACAAATTAAAAGCATTGATTCAGTTAGAACCTTCAGATGAAGAGACAAGATGGTTTAAACCTATAAAATCTATATATTTTTTGGATTCTGATGAACACTCATCAACGCTATTCACATTCAACCCAGTCTCCATTTCGCTACTCAACAAGAAGGAAGCATGAAGACAAGTGCAAGAAGAGAAGGCAGATGAGAGAGAGAGAGAGAGATTAAAGGCATTCGGGCCGGGCTTGGGATTTGCAGATCAAAAAGCTGGGTTCGACCATCATAGATTGTCTGCAATGAACAGTAGAGGACGAAGAGAGGAAGAACATCTTCTTGGATGAAAAGCTGGGTTCACTCATCACCGACGCAAGATCGGACAGTCAACGGCGAACGAATCTATCTTTAATTAGCCATTACAACGACTAAATATATCGTCCGAGGAGTCTCCACGTGCTCTGGCAGCCCCCACAAATAAGGCCGAATCAGAAAATGGATAGCGGAAGGGGTCAGTCAAAATACGAGCGGAAGCACTTCTGTCTTCCTTCCGACGATGACGTGGACGATCCGCTGACCTCTCGTCCTGTGGGACGCAACCCGTCGGGGTCCACTCTCACCTCATCGGTTAAGTCGTCCCCCCAACGTGATCGTGGTCACCGATTCTTACTTCGCATCGCCCGGGCTACCGATTGAATTGTCCACTATGCCCTTCGTTGGTGCCCTGCGTCGAGCAAAAGGGTCAGGAGTATTTTAGTCAAATCACATCTTTCCCGATGACCAGGACTCCGTCCGTTCCGCCCAACGCGTGCGACGAGTCGCGCGAAGATAACGTATGCGACGATATCTCAGCCGTTAAATGGCATTACTTCGAATCACAGCGGTCTGTTTCCAATAACGACGCCCGTTAAGGGTGGCGGTCTACAGTTAACGTGGCTGAACCGTGTCGCGCCCGTGTCGAGTGTCACGGGAGACCCTTCTCTATGCGGTTAATTAACTCCTATTTAACCGACCATTAAGGAATTAAGCACGATTAAGAAGGAATAATCTTGTGGTTGTTACCCGAGGACGAGACGATCCCTTTGCCCACGGCGATCCAACAAAACTAGGGTTTCGAGCATCCGCCATTGGAAGACCTTTGAATCGACTTCCCTTCCTTGCCTCCGATCTCTCTCTTTCCCCGCGTTTCGGCCTTCTAATTTGATCACATTCGTTGGTCGTTTTGATTCTTTTGGCTTCGGTTTTGGGGGGATTCGACGGTGCGACGATGCCCCCTGCCGACCTGCAAGGCTCATCGGCTCCTTTCGCTTTCGGCGCCCTCTCTATCCTGAGCTTCCGGCGCGACCAGCCACTGATGGACGCCTACTTCCACGGCCACGACGCCGGCGGAGAGCAAAGGGAGCTTGTCGCCTTCCAGCGCCAGATCGCCGACCTCTTCCAGGACCTGGCGTCCGGGGATGACGACGTCCTCTCTATTTCCTGGGTGCGGCGGCTCCTCGACACCTTCCTCATGTGCCAGGAGGAGTTCCGCATGATCCTCTTCGGATACCGTAGCCCTTCGGACCCTGTCGACCGCCTCGTATCCGATTTCTTCGACCGCGCCGTGAAGGCGCTTGACATCTGCAACGCCGTGCGCGATGGCATCGAGCAGATCCGGCACTGGCGAATGCACCTCGAGATCGTGCTGGAGGCCCTCGGACCGCAGCAACGGCCCCTCGGCGAGGGACATCTCCGCCGGGCCAAGAAGGCACTAATCGAACTCGCCATCCTCATGCTCGACGACAAGGACGCCGGCTCGGTCCTCTCCCACCGCAACCTGTCCTTCGGCCGCAACGGAGGCTCGTCATCTTCCTCGTCGAACGACCGCAGCGCCCACTTCCGCTCCCGCTCCTGGAGCATCTCCCGGTCCTGGTCCGCGGCGCGGCAGCTGCAGGCCATCGGGAGCAACATGGCCGCGCCTCGAGGCCACGAGGTCATCGCCGTGCCGGTGTACACGATGAGCTCGGTGCTCCTCTTCGTGATGTGGGCACTCGTGGCCGCCATCCCGTGCCAGGATCGCGGTCTCCAGGTCCACTTCTCCATCCCGCGCAGCTTCCCGTGGGCGGCCCCGATCACGTCGCTCCACGAGAGGATCATGGAGGAGTCCAAGAAGAAGGACAGGAAGAACTCCGTCGGGCTGTTGAAGGAGATTCACCACATCGAGGAATGCGTGCACCACCTGCTGGACCTGATGGACGCCGTCGGGTTCCCGATGGCGGAGGACACGGAGGCAGAGCTCAGGCAGGGGGTGCAGGAGCTGGCCCAAGTCTGCGAGGCTCTGAAGGACGGCCTCGATCCCCTGGAGCGCCAGCTCAGGGAAGTATTCCTTCGGATCGTACGAAGCCGCAGCGAGCGGGTGGATGGCACACTGAACGATGCCGAATGAGATCATCACGTCGAGATCTCCTCTGAAGTGGAACTATTATAGGTGTGGATTCTAAGCTGCATGTGGAAACAGAAGAAGCGCATGCCTTCTTCTTCCTGCAAACAAATTGCTGCTGGTAGTGCTGTTGAAATTACCAACTTACGTTCTGTAAAATAGAAAAAGGTCGAATTTTGTGATCATGATGACGCTGTTATGTTATATTATAGTGTCTTCGGTGTACATTTTTTTTTGGTTCATCCAAATCTACTACCATTCTCGGACATAATGCATCAAAATTTTCTATTCTCTGGGCGATGAATCGATGTTTGGCATGAAGGCTCAAAATTTGGCTGACTTATATTTCCATAGAATTCTTGCACGGGCATTACAATCGGTCAACAAAAGGGTACGTTTCTTGGATCAGCACTTGCGTCTCCGCAAACATCGAATCACTAGCAGAAGCTTCGTGATTCCGAGGAGAGAGTGATGTGGAAGAGTCTGGGAAGAAGAAAAACATCTTACGTTGTGTTCAAAGGTTCTAGTCAAGATCAGCCTGCGGAAACTTATGTTGAATCCCCAGGAGACGTAGCCCAGCGGTGATCGACTTCCTTCCTCGGGCACACATACATAACCAGGCCATACGGCATCGTCAGCTGCACCAGGTTTCGATACTCTCTAGTGATGGAGGAAGAGCAGCATGAGGTGGTGATCGTGGGAGCTGGAATCGCGGGGCTGGCGACGGCGGTGGCGCTCCAGATCGTGGGCCTGCAGACCCTGGTCCTGGAGAGGTCCCCTGAGCTCCGCGCCACAGGAGCCGCCATAGGGCTGTCCTCCAACGCTTGGCGCGCGCTCGATGTCCTCGGCGTCGCCCACAAGCTCCTTCCCTCCTGTCCTACCGTCCCAAAGTATGCCTCGGCTTCTTCTGTTCATGCTATTTCTCCGAACACCTTCAGCACTACTAACATGTGATGACCGTGCATTGTCACTGCTTTCCCAGAGCGGTTGTCACAGACCTCCCCACCGGATCAATTCAAGCGGTGCCCTTCACCCGGTCGCAGAGGTACTCGTTTCTTACCACCGTTAAGCTTGAAGCAGATCGACCTGAAGGTGTTGTGCGTTGAACTCACAGGGGTGACACGGCAACTCGAATAGTGCACCGGAAGGATCTGTTAGAGACGCTTGCTGAGGAGCTGAAACCGGGAACCATAAGGTTCTCGTCAAAGATAACCTCCATTGATCAAGACGCGTCGTCGTCTGTCACGGCCGTGCACTTGGATGACGGATCCGTCGTCAAAGCCAAGGTATATGCGTCGACTCTGTTACTGCACTTGAATGATCTCAGTCACATGATACGATCTCGTGATCGATGTGCAGGTGCTGATCGGCTGTGACGGTGTGCACTCGGTGGTGGCGCGGTGGCTGGGGCTCAGTGAGCCGGTTCATTCCGGTCGGTCGGCCGTCCGAGGCCTTGCGGTGTTTCCTGAAGGCCATGGGCTCAAGAACGGAGCCGCGCAGTACGTTATTGATGACAAGAGGGCTGGGTTTGCTCCTCTTAACAGCAACGACCTTTACTGGTTCATCACCCACCCCTCCACTGCAAGAGGCAACCCTCTCTCTCTCTCTCTCTCTCTCACTCTCTCTCTCTCTCTCTCTGATTCTTCACGAACTCATGCAGAGAAAGAGATACAAAGAGACCCCGAGCTGATCCTGGCGGAAGTGACGGAGAAGCTTGCCATCGACTTTCCACCCGAGTTCCAAATGGTGGTGCGCCACGTCGACCTCGCCACCCTGAGCTGGGCACCGCTGGTCTTCCGACTCCCGTGGGACGTCCTGCTGGGCCGGATCCACAAGGGGTGCGTGACGGTCGCCGGGGACGCCATGCACCCGATGACGCCGGACCTCGCGCAGGGCGGGTGCACAGCGCTGGAGGACGCCATCGTGCTCGCGCGGAACCTCGCCGGGGCACGGTCCCGGGGCCAGCTCGCCGCGGGGCTGGAGAGTTACGTGCGGGAGCGGCGGTGGCGCGCCGCGTGGCTGATCGCCGCGTCCTACCTTTCCGGGTGGGTGCAGCAGGGAGGAAACGCCGGAGTGTGGCGATCGTCGGTCGAGTGGTTCCGGCGTAACATCTACTACAAGTTTCTCCATTCCAGGATCTTCTTCGCCGTCCATCAATACGACTGTGGGGATTTGCTGCCAGCGGAGTAGCAGACCCTTGCCGTCGACGTTACAATGATGGAGCTGTTGCTCCTATCAATTTGCTCTCTGTTGACTAATAACATCATAGCTATGTGATGTACAAATAAGGATGGCTTCATTCATTCACCACTGTCTCTTTGTGAAATCCCATGCACTTGATCATGGTCATGATAACTATTCATTTTGAGATAATTAGATATTTTGTTTGTGTAAATATAAGGCCGCAATGGTGCATCAAATGCACCATTGATAACTATTCATTTTACAAATTCTCATATTTTTATCTTAAAAAAAATTTATGATAAAAAATTCTAAGATTTGTTTGAATAAAAATAATAATTAAGAATTGATTACTAAAAGAACTAATAACTTAAATTAGTAAAAAGAATGCTGTAAAGCTAAATTTATACATTACAAATATTTATGAAAATGCTTTGCAAAGTCAACGCAAAAAAAAAGTAGGGTCCAGAATCATATCCCCCTGAAAAAAGCAGGGCAGCCACTTCTTGTTCTTTATGACATAAAACAAGTCTATCTATAATTATCTACTAAACTAACCATTGGTTAATATACTTTGAGACCATCCTTAATGCTATTGTTTACTCCCACATGCATACCAACGGACACGTCTAAACCATGGCTGCTATATTTACGTGGCTCCAACTTTCGCCGTGTGTAGAGACAACCAAAGGAGACTTAGTCCAATTGGCTTAATTTGCCCTCTCTCTCTCTTTCTGTCTCTCGTGCAATTAATGACCATTTCAAACCTCCATCACACTTCCTCCTCGGTTTCCGCCACCCTTTTCTTATCCCTCCTCTGCTTGGGTTCGTCCTTGACACCCTCTGTTTTCCTCCTTTTCCTCTCTCTCTGCACCACCCTTCTCTCTTCTACTTTGCCTCTTGTTAGTTTTAATCTTCTTTTTGGTTCTTGAGACGAAGAACACATCAAATAGGAGAGGTGGCCATTGATGGAGGGAAATCAACCTCGTCTTCCCCAGAAGTCCAGCAGCTTCACCGCCAGTCGCGATGAGAAGCATCACGAGATCGACCGCAACCTCTCCCTGGGATCCTTAAAGCTGGAGCAGTATGGGAAGAGAGTGACGCATGGTGTGGACACGATAGAAGAGGAGGAAACCGAGGAGAAGCCCATAGCAGGCAATGCTGAGGAGCCGCGAGCCAGCTTCTTCTTCGTCTCCGAGAACATCGATGTATTCCTCACCGTTCTTCTCTCTGTTGAAGAAGACGGCCGAGATGAGAGCCGCGAGCCGCCGGACATCCCTGAACCCACTGTCGAACGGTTCGTCACTTTGTTGGAGAAGGAGATCGGTAGGTACGAAAGCGGCGAGGCTAAATGGTGCTCCGACAACGACGAATTCCCTCTTCTTGATGCGATCGGCAGGGTGTCAAAGCTGACGGTGGCGGTGACGAGGTTCTCGTCGGACACCAGGTATAACCAGGCGATGAACCGAGCCGGCGGCGTTCTCCACCACGCCATGTGCTTCCTCGAAGACGAGTTCCACTCATTGCTTCAAGATCCCAGAGCAAAGCATGATGCCGGCAGCATCAGCTTGAAGGCCAAGCGGCAGCCGTCGTTTAGCCTCAATCACGATCCCGACCGCAGTGTGCGGCCCTCGTCGGAGTCCATTTCCGGCGAGTCTCGGCCGCCGTATCCACCGGAGACCGTGGAGAGGCTGCACGGGATCGCGGACGCCATGATCTCCGCTGGGTATGACATCGAGTGCTGTCAGTTGTTCGCCATCGCTCGGCACAATGCCTTCGAGGCGGGTTTGCCGAGCCTCGGCTTCGACAAGGTCAGCATCGAAGACGTGCTCAAGAGGGCTTGGGATTCGTTGCAAAGCGAGATCGCGACGTGGATCAAGGCCTTCCGCCACACCATCACGGCTTCCTTCGCCGCAGAGCGCGACCTCTGCGAGGCCGTGTTCGCCGGTCACCCCGCCGTCTCTGATCGCCTGTTTCGCCGCTTCGCCCGTGGCGCCACCGTCCAGCTCATCACCTTCGCGGAGGCCGTCTCCATAACCAAACGCTCGGCCGAGAAGCTATTTAAAGTGCTCGACATCTACGAGGCCTTGCGCGACGTGACGCCGGCCGTGGACGCCCTGCTACCGGAGGGGGCCGAGCAGGACGAGTCCTCCATTATCGCGGACCCCAAGGCGGAGATCGCCTCGGTGCGGTGTCGTCTTGGGGAGGCCGCCGTCGGCATCTTCTGCGAGCTTGAGAGCTCGATAAAGGCCGACAGCAGCAAGACCCCTGTGCCGGGCGGCGCAGTCCACCCTCTCACTCGCTACGTCATGAACTATCTTAAGTACGCCTGCGAGTACAAGAACACGTTGGAGCAGGTCTTCAAAGAGCACAAACATTCCGAGAAGACATCATCCTGTGCGGCGGACGGCGAGGCTGCTCGGGGAGGCGGCAATGGCCGGAACGGTAGCAACGGCGAGGGCCATAATCCATTCGCAGCTCAATTAATGGAGGCGATGAACTTGCTGCACTCGAACCTGGAGTCGAAATCAAGGCTCTACAAGGATCAAGCGCTGTGCAACATCTTCCTGATGAACAACGGGAGGTACATCGCGAAGAAGGTCAAGGGGTCGCCAGAGATCCATCAGCTGCTGGGGGAGACGTGGTACCGGAAGCGGTCGTCGGAGTTGCGGCAGTACCACAAGAATTACCAGCGGGAGACGTGGTCGAGGGTGCTGGCCTGCCTGCGAGACGATGGACTGCAGGCCAAGGGTAGCGTCGCGAAGCCGGTGCTCAAGGAGCGGTTCAAGAGCTTCAACGCCATGATCGAGGAGACCCACAAGGCACAGAGCTCGTGGGTGGTGAGCGACGAGCAGCTGCAGTCGGAGCTGAGGGTGTCGGTGTCGGCAGTGGTGGTGCCCGCCTACCGCTCCTTCCTGGGCAGGTTCTCGCAGTACCTCGACCCGGGGCGGCAGACCGAGAAGTACATCAAGTTCGGCCCGGATGACCTCGAGACCTTGATCGACGAGCTCTTCGACGGCAACCCTTCTTCCACCGCAAGCAAGAGGAGGCCATGATTGGGGGGGTGGGGGGGGGGGGGTGGCGAGATTCTCAAACTACCCAACCTTAATTTTCGTGCTACTGTTCGTCTTCCTTATTGCCTAAACAACTCTGTTAGAGTTAGATACTGCCACCCCATGTAATCTAAATCTTTAACAAATCGAAAGCAACTTCAGTCAATTAGATTTTAAAGAATCAAGAACTACTTCATTGAATTTAAGATGTAAATGTAGATTTCGATCGTCTGGTAATAGAGGAACAGATTCCAGAAAGCCAATTGTTCATGTAGCCGCATCATGAGAATAGGGAGATCTATATGCACTGTAATCATGTGAGGAAATATAGCATGGACTGCAGTGATTGCAATCACGAGTGATGTTTAGGATCTCAACCCAGTTCACGGGCTACCATGCAAGAACTAGACAATGCAAACACCAAAAACAAAAGGACAAGAACAGTCTCCATGTTCAAAACTTTAGCTTTCTGCAGTGTATTGTTTCAGTAGCCCATGCCTACATCATAATGTCATTCCAGATCTATCAAACACGGCACAAGCTTTACCAAAATGGAGTCAGAATCCACTAAAGATCATAGTCAGGTCAGGATGATCTCCACATGAATCCGTACCGTCTCCCATTAACTTTCAAGGAAAATAGCGCTGACAGATTAACAGATCTAACAAGCAGGAAGAGTAAGAAATAGCATAAGAACAACAGCCATTTCATAATCTCCAAAGATCAACTGCATATTTATCAGGTTCCAGAGTCCTCGAGCCATACAGCCAAATCTACCAAGACACATACACACATATATGTAGTTGGATGATACACATTGCCGTCGCAGCAATGCAGCTAGAAGAGAGGGTTGGCATTAAAGCAGACACACATGTAGAGATGCAGAAACCTTTCAGTAAACAGCATCACGATCACCTCCTGCAGCGGGTGATGACCTCGCAGTTCCTGGAGTAAGGGTGGACGGGTCCCCTGGCCCTGTAGCAGTTGTGGGTGTAGTAGGACCGCCCGGAGCGGGGCGGGCAGGGGACGCGGTTGGCCGAGAGCGCGGCGTAGGAGATGTAGTAGCGCATCCGGTGCCAGAAGAGTGACCTCCTCGCGTCCTTGCTGACTTCGTCCTCTCCGATGCCTTCGCCGTAGAACTCCTCCGCCTCCTCCTGGGGAGCGAAGGGGAAGGAGGAAGGCCAGTCCATGGCTTCTCTCATGAGGCTCAGCCCGGCGTCCTCCGCCTGGGCTTCGACCATAGCGGCCGCTGCATTGGCGAGCAGGAAGGTCAGGAGGAGAAGCTTGCACAGAGCCATTGTTGGAGCAATGAATCAAAGCGTGGTGTGGTCTTCTTTTTGTGGTGAGCCTGTGAGTGACACACAGCGGCCTCGTGGAGCAGTGCATCAAGACAGCTGGATTTGGCAGAGGTGAGTGGATCGCATGTTTGGGATCAACGGGATTGCTTTTCCTCTAGTGGTGGATGACTTGGGGCCCTTTGCAGGAGAAAACGGGATCCCAGTCGTTAGTCATGTTGGTGTCTGTGGTGTAGTAGGGGATCGGGATGGGACCTGAGAACCGCGGCCTCCGAAGGTGGGCCCGATTCCGGGCAGTGAATGCTACGAAATATTAATGTCCAACTCCATCATAAAATCTTACATTTACCCACGCCATCTACTTAGAGTGACAGTGTACGGACCCACTGGTCGTAAGCTATGGGCCCCAAGTGTCTTCCCAAATCATGATAAGGGTAAATGATAGGAATGTATCTATTACCGAAGTAAAAACCCTACATCACATGAAATGAGAATATAAAATTTTGACGTGGATCGAATCATAACGATTTGTTTAGAACGGTTTCGGTATACCCATTATAACGGGTCGAAGACATCATATATCGGCCGATGCCCCGTTTCGTATCGTACATCTTGCGCTCGCGCCTCGTTGGGATTCCTCCGTGGCAGCGTGAGAGATGGCAGCGGCAGGAAGTGGTGGTGCAGGTGGAGGAAAGGTCTCGTTTAAGGTGATCTTGACCTCCGATCCGAAGCTGCCCTTCAAAGTGTAAGTCCTCCTTTCCCTTTCCGCCTACCGTCTCTCTCTCTCTCTCCCCTTCGATTTCTAGGGTTTCGTACGCCTTAGTTAATTTGCTTTGAATCTTTTGTGCTGATCCCAGTTTCAGCGTCCCGGAGGCGGCACCCTTTACCGCTGTGCTAAAATTTGCTGCGGAGGAGTTCAAGGTCCCACCTCAGACCAGCGCGATCATTACCAATGGTATAGTTCTACCCTTTCTAGCGTTTTGATTCTAATCTACCGCGCATGAGAAGGAAAAGATGAGACTTGGGGCCTTTTTTTTTTTTTTTGAGAATTATTCGATTTGGAACCTTTTTTGGGTTAATTCGTCTATATATTTTAAGGGTGATTTGCCCTCTATGCAGAATTAGACTTATTTTAAGGTTCTACCCTTTTCTTTCATCCCAAAACAATGGGTTAAAATGGTTAAGTTGAAGTTGCTAATGGTACTATCATTATACATAGGACTGATCAGGATGTTACATAACATAACTCAGATCAAATCATATCATGATGTATGTGAGACGAAGCCACTAATCGGGGTGTTACAAACTATTCTAGTTAAAAGCTTGATGTCCTCGTCAAGATCCAGCATAACCCAGATCAAATCCTAGCATTAGGCATGTGAGTCACTCCGACGAAGGGTCATCGGACTAATGTTGTCAATGGAGGGAAGGCAAACAGAATTGCTTAGCAAGTGAGTTTCATTATTTAATGAATCTTCCACTTAGCTCATCTCTTTTTTATGCCTAAGATGGAGAACGCTTCACAATTCAATGAAGCTTCCACTTATTTAATGGGATAATTGACCTTTCAATTTTGTTTAACCTCAAACCATTAGCTAAAATGCTTTAGTTAAAATTGTTAATAGTACACCAGTCAGACCCTTATAAGTCAATCTTAGTCTTAGTCATTTTCGATATGGGATTAATCGTCATGTTACATGTAATTTGTTTTGCATTGGATTTATCTGTTCGGAGTACTTGAAAGTCTTGACCTTTTCCTCCTCTTTGCAGATGGCGTGGGTATCAACCCGCAGCAAAGTGCTGGTATGTTATTGCCATCCTTGTGTACCCTTACCTGTCAATATCTCAATTTTCCTGTGACACTTATGTTTTGGTTAATCTAAGTTGGAAGTTATCATGTCAATTTTTTTGTTGCAATCACAATTTGAGCTTCTCATGTATCAATGTTTTACTCAGCTATCTTTTATTATCATGAGATCCCTTTTGAAACCTTTTAGTGGCTTTGATTTGATGCAAGTTTGGTATAGAGATGGAATGATACTCTTTGCTCGATAATTTGCAGCCTTTTAATTCATTCGTGAAAGAATGTTTGACTAAGACTCATTAAAGGTTCATGCCATTAAGATTTTCAAGTGTGTTCATTCTCCTAGTTACTCTTGGTTTTTACTGTCTTGATTATTGGAATGCTATTTAGATAATCATAACCATATTCTTCAAAATTGGGTGACCAAGGGGCTATTTATATTTTTCGTGAACAGGCGAATTAGGATCCTAGTAATCACCAGTTAAAAATATTTTTGTAACTATTTGCTGGATCTAGATAGTTCTCATACATATTATTTAAAGTTAGTTAACTTCCCTTCAACGCATAACGAGACATTTTAAGATATTTTGAACAAACCTGCAGGAATTAGTTTACTGAATATTGCTAAATATGAATCGTCAATTTTATTTTCTATGTTTAAGTTGTCCTGATCAGTATAGAATTGAGGCAATGCAACTGTTGAACTTGTGCAATACCTGGGATGATGTATCTGTTTTGGCAACAATGTCTTTTGCTTCATGTCAAGTATTTCATGGTATTGGCAAAACACAACTCGTACACGTATGCAGATAAATGGTTCTCTTTGTTACATATAAGCATGTGAAGATTTCAGAACAACCAATCGGCACATAGAGTGGTCTCTTTTATATATAAAGCTTGTATCAATGCATTGATCTGTATGGCGATGATGATATGGCCAATTATTCTTTTTCTTCCTCTGAAACTTGATGTCATTTGCTGATTTATATAAGAAATGTATGTGCATATGCAGGCAACGTGTTTCTGAAGCATGGCTCAGAGTTGCGTCTCATACCTCGTGACAGAGTTGGAGGAAGCTTATTAGATGTTTAGTGCTACCATTTCCAGAGCTATTGGGTTTTATGTTTGCCATTATGTTTATTAGCTTTCTCTCTGAACTTGTTATTCTACCTCGCATGATAAGATAAATAACATCGATTATCACATTTTACATGATCCTAATAAATTTAACTGTTACCCTGTTTGTTCAATCGAGAATGCAAGTGAATATTCATTGCACCTGTTCTATACTGTCAAAACTCCATATGCAAGGATATCTTTCTTGTGGTCATCAGTTGAACATGATAGTTATTCTCGAAGCACCGACACGTTAATTCCTGTGCATGTACTTGTTTGACTTTTAGGATGACCATGATACAAGAAGTAGTAATTATTGATGAACTGATGCACCGTGGCTGGTGAGTCAGCACGGCCTGGTCCGCGGGTTGATGTCGAGAGTCTTCGGTCGGCAGAGCTGGTTGACGAGGTCGATGATGCCCGCCAGACAGGATGCTGGTGTCGGGATGCTAATTGGTGACTCGGTCGGGATGCTAATTGGTGACTCTCGGTCGGGATGGTCGCGTCTCGGGGGGTGGTCGCTCTCCTGCACAAAAGGCCCTCGTCGGGTGATTACCGACTTTGGTCCCTCAACGAGTAAGTTAGTGCTTGGTTCTATTTGTTTTTTTGTATCCCTTTGGTCAGGTGTCAGGGGTTTTTATACTACTGTACGAGGGTCGGTCGTACGCGGGTTTGGCGTGACGACCGATCCTCGAGTGGCGAGGAGGTACCTTTGTGTGGTCGTCGTTTCGGAACGTGCGGAACGGCGCCAAGCAACGCCGTCCTGAGCTTTTCGAGACGGGATGTACTAGTGTGACCTTGATGGCCAAAGCCCAAAATATATATTATCAGTAATGTATCCTGATTGATTGATATACTTAATTCAACACAATCTCTTGTCATACCGAAGCAAGAGAATTGCTTACCATGTGCTAGTAAAACACTAGCAACATATATTGTTTATTAGATGAACACTTTGTGCCTACTTGATCTTGCTGCTATGGTATGTGTTTGCAGTGTGGATTAGAACATTCCATGTCCATATTTTTTATTGGTGGGAAGGAAGAGATGAGAACAGTCATCAACAGTGTGATTCCCAGGACATATTTAGTACCTCAGATATACAGACATGTACATCAAATACCTCAGAAATAATAATAAAGAAATTTCGAATACAATAAATTTGATTTTACAAAATTTTCCTAACTCGACTAATTTTGTATGTCTTCGAGTAATTTAAATTTGATGAGAAATTTTTTTTTAATAAAAGGTAAAAAAAATATATTTACATCCTATGTCATTTCAATTTTACTGTAGAAGATGTTTGTATCTCACTTGTCGTAAAAGATTACATTAGAGATTTGTCCCTATGGTTAAGTCCATACATACTCGTAGAGAATACATCATTTTTGACCCCCCAGAGATTTTCCTTTTATCATCTCTAGCGTAAGTATTGATTGAATTTTACGTGTCAAATTTTGATTGGCTGAAATTAATGGCAGTAGTATCATCCGTCTTTATCTGGTTTGTGGTATCTTTCTTTTTCTTCATATCGGATCGGACTTTTTGGGATCGAGGTCCAACACTTAACCTCGACATGGATCGGGTTATTTTTCCGGATTAACCTGGGTCCGTTTACACCTGCGGCCACCAACTCATTGATTTGCAGGGTGGAGATTAAGAGTCGTAATTGAATTTGCGGCTGTGATAACGCCCGTCGTTAAGTACTTCGGTACTCCGCACCTTCTGGAGATTCCAAGGACGCGATATAATCAGAGAATCAGAAACGTCCGTCTCGAATCGGGCGGTAGCGATCCCGACTACATCTTTGTTTCCGCGGTCATTCTCGGGAGGAGAGGGCGGAGTGTCTGACTCCGTAGCTTGGTTTCCTCTCTCTCTCTCCTCGTCTCGTTCTTGGACCTCGAAACCCTAGCGATCGCCGATACCAACAATGGCCTCAGGTAGATTCTCATATACGAATTTTCTTCCTATTTGACGCTTTTAAGTACTCGTCGATGGGTTCCCTGTCGGCCGGTTTGTGATCGAATCGAGATCTTTCGTTTCCGCAGATGAATGGCTTGAAACGTTTTTCTTTCTTTTGTATTATCATGCTTTTATAGTTTCGGAATTTGACTGGCGTTTCTGCGACGAGGTGAATTCTGGCTCAAACTTGGAAAATTTTCGTTTGTTTGATTCGATGTTATTCTTTTGTGGGTCAAAATGGAGTTTGTTTTTCTGGGTATGGATTCTCTCTACAAAGAAGATGATTTTGATCTTGCAATCATGTGGTTTTTTGTGTTGTCTTTTAGATTATTTTTGTGATGTAAAAACATGAAGATCGTCTGGGTGATTTCGTGATTTTTTTTCCTTTTTTTGATTGAATCATGAAATCGATGCATCTTCTGGTTTACTATGATGTCTTGTTGAGCTCTCTTTGTGCTTCGTGTTTTATCTGGCTATTCTTTATTTCAGTAAGGCTCCTTGTGCTTTGGAAGTATTCATAAGCATTTTTAATTGTTGTCCTAGAAATTGAAGGACAGCAAATTTCAACATCAACCGAAAGGTCTTCACAATTGGAGAGTGAACTTTGTCTTTGTGTAGGTCTTTTAGTCGTCCATGTACTGTTACAGTTCCGATGCTGCTCGGCTGAGTTGAACAGACAGATATACCATACGAACCCTTTAGAAAATCAACTGTTGCATTTAATAGGACAAGAGGTTTTTCTTTCCGTTTTGAAAATTTTCAAGTTATAGTCACTGATTGTATCTTACAATGTGTTAATGATACATATATCTTGTACTTCCACGTTCAAGGTGTGGAAGCAAAACAAATGATGATAAGTTCATGTTATTGCTTATGAGAAAAATAATCTGACGTTATTGAGGAACCAACTCTATGCTGCTAAGTGACAACCTTAGAATGAAGTGAAGGAGCCTTAGCTTTGTCTATCTTTGTCGCTCTTGAAAATTGTTCTAATCATATGAGCATTTAACTTATATCTTTGAAGAGTTACATTGTTTTTGTGGAAGTCATTGTTTGTTACTTCTCTACTGAATTTATGATGCATTTTTCTGCAGATGTTTCCATCCCAGTTCCTTCAGAATTTGGCACATTCTCTCGTCTGAGGACCATGCAATTTGTTGGAACAGAGAGACCTTGGCTAAGTAAGTTCAGCATCTAGTTCTTACTGCAGGTCCAACCCTTGTAGTTGTTCCATGGTGTTTCCAATGGCACTTAAATTTATGTTATCATTAGCTTTGGATATTTTATTAATTTAAGTCTGTATTATATTGGAATGTATATTTCTTTTTGAATTGGTTTCATGTTCTTGGTTCTCTTAATCAGATCTATATGGGAATAGGATCCGACCTGTTGCTCCCTTTGGAAGTGTTAGCAGTACACCTTTCACTGATCCTTCTCTGATACATCGATGTTTGCCAGATGAGTTGCTCTTGGAGGTACTGTTTTGTTTCTATCTGTATTGCACAAAATACATCTAGGCATGCTACTTGAATTCATTCTTTGTTTTTCTCTATGGTTGACAAGATGTTCAAGTAGCAAGGCCAGAATTAGAGGTCATTGCAGTAACTTATTAATACACTGAAGAACCATAATATATTGTCTATACATCATAGAATGCAGAAACTCAAAACATCTTTTTGTAACATTTTATTTCACTTGATTTTTCGTTTGTTTCATAGGTATGGTAGGCTTTGTAACCTTTTTGTCACTTCTTTCCAAGCTCATAATTAGCTCTCATCTCTCAAACAATTGCTTGAACTCGTGTCATGAAAATAATAATACTGAATTGCATATGGATGGTTGTAATTAGGTTTTCTCAAGAATGAATCCCTACACTTTAGGGAGGGCGGCCTGCGTTTGTCGCAAATGGAGGTACGCTATTCGGAATCCCAACTTGTGGCGCAATGCATGCCTGAAAATTTGGCAGGTACTAGTAATTTTCAGAAATAGTTGATAGCTGTTTTTTTTGTGAACGATTTTGTCACTGATTCATATAAACCTGCTTATGAAGGCTTCTGGAGTGGAGACAAACTACAGAATTGTCCATTCTCTCTATGATGGTTCTTGGAGGAAAATGTGGGTCTGGAGACCAAGGATTCGAAATGATGGTAATGCTTCAACATTTTACCATGAACATGTGACCATAAACATACTTATAGACTGTGGTTGCTTATAGTTGCATCGATGTACTGTGATAAATCTTATTTTATTAATAAACAGTTCAAAAGAAGTATGCATGTAAATATGTTTATGGACTGTGATCCTGATATCTGTACATTGTTGACTCTACAAATTGCCAGTTTTATCTATGATTTCGTAGTGACTCATCTGGCCAGTGGCAATTTGTGAATTTGCTGTGTTGTATAAGTAGAAGTGCCCACCTTTTCTGCATACAATCTTTTCCCCATCCATATGGATTGAGCTCTTGTCACGATTCATGAACTAATCAAAAAACAAAATACTGCTTTATCTATGGTTTATTCTTTTTCATCTATATAAAACATCAACAGTGTCAATCTGGTCCATTGTAATGTATCATACCTCATCATGCTTTTTGCGGACTCTTAGGTGCATTAAATTCTTGAAAAGTGACTTCTTTTACCATAAAAAAGTTATTTCATTTCCCATAAAACCTTCAACAGAAACTGCATGTTAATTTCCTTTTTTGCAATGTTAAGAAAAATTTTCAGCTTCTTTTGTATGACTTTTTCCATCATTTAAAATTTTAAATATCTCCTAATCTGTTCAAATTCAGTTTTTAGGTATATCATTTTTGGGGTTCAGAAAGTTTTACAAGTTTCCTTATATTATCAGGTCTCTACGTTAGCCGGAATACCTACATTCGTACAGGGGTTGCAGAGTGGAAAGTTACAAATCCTGTCCATGTGGTATGTTTTTTCCTGAACCTTTTATGATATGTGATTGTATTTATGCACATCATCTTAATGGCTCCTTTGGAGGCACCAAAATGAATCAATTTCAATTGTTGCTTACAAAGTACTGACATGCTTTTTAGGATTTTTTTCCTTTTACACAATGAATTTTAAATGTTTACTGGTGCAGGAATCTTTATGTTCAAAAAGCATGGTTCGTAGATTGTGTTTATTTTTAGGAACTTTATGTTCTGTTTCTCAACTATTTTATTATTCTCTGCAGGTTTGTTACTACCGTTACTTGAGATTTTATCCAAGTGGGAAGTTCCTCTACAAGGTTTTAATTCTGAACTGTAACAAGGAATGATGAATTATATTCATGATATGATTGTCATGCTATGAATAATTTGTTCTTGACTAATAGATCTCTTCACAAAAAGTTAAAGACGTGGTTAAATGCATGAATCGTGCATCTAAAGCTGACTGTGTCTTCAAAGGTGACTATATCTTAACTGAAGATCAGGTTAGTTTTATTTTAACTGAAGCTTACACTTTGGTGCATATCCTCTAAATCTGTCATTATTGGATGTTTCTTGGTGACCTTTTCTTTCTTTGCAATAATTTGCTATCTGGCTGCTTTAAGTATATCACTTTGTTATTTGACTTTTTGTAGGTAGAAACTGCTCTCTTATACCCAGGCTTGCGTTATACTTTGCTGAGAATGCGACTTAGGTACTACAATGAAGTTGTTTTTATTGAAGTTTAGCAATGAGTAATTTCCTTGATTAAAAGCCAGTATTAAACAGTTTATCCTCCTTCAAGTTGAAGGTATTATCTACTTCTTTGGCTTTCTGTAGGCTCAGAGGTACAACTCTAGGGGCAAACAATCGGCTAGATGTCTTGAAGCTTGTTACAACTGGTGTAAATGAAAGTGAAGTAAGAAACCACGGAGATGACATGCTTGGAATCGTGGAAGGTTGGGAAGAGGATGAGACACATGATCCAGATGTGCCTGCTATATCCCACGGAAGGGGTTTGACACCGTTTGTGTTTGTTTCATTTGAAGAGGTATTCTTTCTTGCAAATTCTGCAGTTTATGATAAAGCACTCAGTTGTTGCAGTAGGTGCTTCTTGTATTTTAATTCTGCTGTAAAGTTTTATTGTCATGATAGTTTCTGTTTGTATGCTTTATCTTGGGAACTATGTTGACTAGTAACAAGTTATTTTCATGTTATTATTGCACAACATGTCGTCTCAGTTTTAAAGTTGCATAAACAAGGTTGAAAGTCCTAATTCGAATGATGAATCTTTGAATTTGATACTATGTTTCTACTAAGAACCAAGACCAAGATTCTTGATTTTGCAGCCAATCTGTCCATTCATCAAAATGCCATTCTGTGATTATTGTGCTATGTCCTGACCGTATGGACATCTTAATGTATTCGGAGTTTGCATGTTGTCTTGTCATGCCAGGCAAATTTAGCACAGTAACATTTCTCTATAATATCTGTGCTCTTTCTTCCTCTGAAGTTGTCTAATATGTTGCAAATAGTGTTGAACTAACAAATCGTCTACACCGCATGTCACAGGCTGAAACGTCGGTGTTGAATCTTCCTGTGGACAAGATGGATTACTTCGTACCTGGCTAGCATTCAGATACTGCTATGTGCATACTACTACTACATATTGCCTTTTGCTATTCATCATTTGTGGTTTCCATGTTGTTGGTCCTTTTTGTTTGTAAGTCAGCCTCTACTCCATAACATCGGATTACTATTTCCTTGGATTGATTAGGCTGCTTTTAACTTTGGGTGATGGACTTTTGTTGGAGACAGTAATATGATGAATAGAAATATGTTGTAAATAGGTTGTGGTCACAACTATCGACTTGTTGCCTTTACAATCTCTCCTGCGCATGCTCTTTCTCCAGCTATAAGATCACTGTAAGTTGGCTTCTTTTACCATGTCCTTGGATTGATCGAGGTTGATACTGTTGGATAAGAATTTAGCTCGGGTGCTCGGCGAGATAGATATTTATTTGATACAATAATAAAACAAATACGAATCGTGTAAGTTTGTGATTATAATTAGGAGTTGTGTTGCCCTTTGCAGGCTTTTTCCTTTTTCTTGTCTTTTACAGAGCTTTCCTGTGAATCTGCTTTGTGTGTGTGACATGGCAAACTACTTTGCACTACTGGTATCATGAATTGATTTGATGATGTATATACATGTGCACACGCAAAAGAAAGCTACCAAAACGGCAACTTGTTGGTTGACCTAAAAGAGAATCGGATATCCAATTCTCCACATGTGTTAGTCAACAATTTATAAATTCTCTTTCTTATTAGATAAATGAAATTTTCTTTCTTATTATAAGAACCAACTTAGTCATCAGATTTTTCTCTCTATATTTTTTTTCTCTTCGGTCCCTCTTTTCGTTATTTCCATGTTCGCTTTAATTCTTTCCTCTCCTTAGCACATAGATTTTATTTAGTTTTCTCGTCTCTAAACTAAAAGTATTTATATTGAAATTTATATAATTATAAAAAAAATTAATTATATATACTTTAATATTATCGGATTTATCGATAGATGATATAACACTTGATAGCACATAGAAAATGATGGATAAAAAGGTAATTTTAACATCTTAGGTGAGACATCTGCATTAGTGGGAGGTGAGGCAAGGGCTTATGTCTCCTCGATGCAGAGCGATGTTAGACGAGGGAGAGTAACAACAGAAGGTGAGGCAGTTTGAGAGAGGAGGAAAAAGATGATGGTCGCTCTGTATCATCTTACATCGACAAGAGGTGAGGCAAAGACCTTGTATCTCACTGACACAAATATAGAGCAATGTCGATACAGATGCCTTACCTCTCGTTGATGTAGATGCAGAGTAGCGCAAGAGGAAGATGAGGGAAAGTGACGACGGGAGATAAGGCAAGAGGACAAGGACGATGGCCACTCTATATTGTCTTGCATCTTCGTTGATGTCGCTCTACATCTACATCGACGGGAGGTGAGGCAAAGGCCTTACATCCCATTGACGCAAATGCCTCATCCCACCAAAGCATATGTAGAGTGGTATTGGCGCAAATGCAGTATGATGCAAAGCAACAATTGTCCTCATCCTCTTCCTCCTTTGCCTTTGTCACGTCACACATTATCGCTCTCCCTTCTTTTCCTCCTTCGATGCTGCTCTCAACCTGTGTCGGTAGGACATAAGGCCTTTACCTCACCTCTTGTTAACGCAAATATAGAGTGGCCATCATTCTTATCCTCTTCCTCCTCTCCCTTTGCCTCACCTCCCGTCGCTACCCTCCCTTTTCCTCCTCCAACGGCATTCGACAATTGTGTCAACAGGAAGTGAGGCATTTGCATTAGCACCGTGCCACACTACTCTACATCCATGTTAGCGAGACAGACGTAAGACCTTTACCTCACCTCCAATTAGTGTAAATGTCTCTATGGGATGTTGAAATTATATTTTTATTTATTATTTTTATAACATGTGTTATTAAGTGTTGTATATTTCATTGATAAAGCTAATAACATTACAGTAAATGAGATTAAATGTTTTACGATTCCAATATAAATTTTTTAAGTTCACAATGAATCGAGATGTTAAAAATGTTTAACTATAAAAGATATTATATAATTAGCCCCTTTATATGTATTCCCCTTTGCTCTTGCTTTTGTTGATTTTTTTTTTTTATCCTCGTCTTCACGACTAAAAAAAATCAAGGGGGCCTTTTATCGCAGGCCAGATACCGGGTAATTCCACGGAGGTGTTCGGACGTTGAATCCTTCTTGGCCCACGGAGCTCAGTGGATGTCGGCCCAAGTTCGTTATTCGGCCTTGAACTAATAAGCCCATGCATGAAGTCGGATGGGCCTTAACAGAGCCCATGGAATGTGAATACTACCACTGAGCTGATGAAAAAAACTTGGCCCAAAACCAGAATGCATTTTAGCTTCTTTCTCTCCACATTTTACTTCTACGCCGAAAAATCACAAGAAAATTAAGCTATCAATTTGCCCCTTTCTCGCTGCTTACCTCCAACTAAAATTGCTATGCACGACACATCGGTTACATCCCATGGCTTACATTTGTTGGCTGCTAACGTCTCCTCACTCCGCTGAGTGAAGGAAATACCATACATATGATGGCAAGCGGAGAGATCAAAATGGTACTGCCACTTACTGCACACATCTGGAATACAGGTATATGAACTTGACTACAGAAACTGTAGGATACTCAATAAAAGGTTCCACAAATTGTGCCTCCCCTTTCTTGAGATGTTACTTGCTGTTCTTGGGTTCCATCCATCCTTTATATTCCCTTCACTTTTCATACGACTAATATTTCAGATGTAACGGAAAGCTAACTGCATGCTATTTGTTTGGAATTCCCCGATCCATCTCCCTGCAGCTTTGAACCAGAAGATAATGTCCTTGGAGGTCACAGATCTTTGGATAGAAGTACATCTGTTGAATACCTCAGAGGTCACAGAAGATAATAATGTCCTTAGCGTAAGATGAATACCAGAAGCTGCTTAAAGACGTTGCCTTTAACTGGTGCAATTATCCCGTGTGATCCACGAGTCAACACCAATGAGTCTTGGTTTTGATCTCGCTCCAGAAACCATATCAGAGGAAGCCAAAGAAGATTCATCCGGCGGTTTCCATCAAACAGAGACCACTATGGCAACTTTCCCACCCGTCTAATGTTGGCATTTGTGGCTGCAAAGATGGCTGAACTTCAAATCCTTTGTGAACTTTCCCCATCAAGTACCGGCTTACGCCTCCCACTTTCTTGAGACGTTTCTAGTGCCTCTTTGGTACCATCCCTCTTCTTTTTTCCCTTAACGATTTATATGACCAATAAGCTCAGATGTAACAGAAGGGAGCTGCCTCCATTTGTTTGGAGTTCCCTAATCCAACGGCATGCAGCTCTGAAACAGAAGATACTATCCGCAGAATTACACACATTTTGGTTTTCCTACTTCGGATGGAGGTGCATCTGTTAAATCCCCCCCACGAGAAATGAGAAAAGAATACTAAGTCAACTGAACTAGCAACACTGGGGTCTACTTTCCAATGTAGGATAAATACCAGCTTAAAAACACCCTTGTAATCGAGAGCTCAGCACCAGTGAGTCTTGGCTATGAAATGGCTTCTGAAAATATATCAGATGGAGCTAAAAGGCATGAGAACCAAAAAGATCTATCCAGCAGTCTGCAACGAACAGACCACTATTATGGCAACTTTCCCACCCTCCTCGAGTTGGTATTTGTGCTTGCAAAGATGGCTGAACTTCAAATCCTTTGACCTTTGCCCAAAGTACTGACCATTTACGAGGACACTTGTATTCTTCAAGTGTAGCAACTTGGAGATGAAGAGGAACTAGATAGACACGGCACCTGCAACTTGGTTCCATTCTGAGGCCAAAAAACTACACTTTCTGTAAGTTATTTGTGCCAAACACTCTGGAACAATATACATTTTTTGACTTGTTCCACCCGATAAAATTGCATCGATTTAACATTCAGTGTGGTGTCATGAAAAATGCGTGGAACTCAAGTTATCTGTGATCTCTTTCGTCCGAGATTGTGATCGTAATAAAGTTCATATTTCCGCCGGAGTTTGGTTCTGGCATTCTGCACTTATTGATCTGAGTATTTCTTCTAATCTTGAGGGGAATCACACCTTAGATCGCTTCAGATACACCATAACTCCAATGCTTGTTACTGCAATGGTTCCTGCTAAAATTCCAGCTCTAAGTGATGTCCATTCATTTCTCTGCATTGTGGAAATACCTGACTTTGAACTTAGAATTATCTTATTGGTCCCTGGGTCATCAATGTGCAGCCTTAAAACCTGAATAATCAAACGGTACAAGAAATGAGAAAGCCTCACTTACCAATTTCATTGAACAGATCCAATTTAAAGTGAGAAGCAACTGTTAGTGCTCAGTACTAAAGCACTAGTGGAAGAACAAAAATTTTATTCTACAAGACGCAGCACCAGACTCACATCATCAATGAAGTCATTGTTTAGAGTATCAGGACTGACCAACTTCCTTCCCTTCCTAATGTCCAACAATCTTTATTTGCAATAAATGAAGGAACTATCACTCTTAAATCTAAATCAGCAAAGATATGCTAAACACATTTAGCAGACTGATTCCCTTTTATTACTTAAGCAATGGCATTCCACATATACAAATGTCACATTAAGCTATGTAAGAAAAGAGTATCGCAGAGCTGGACTAATATGGATATTTATGTCAATACAAAGTTACCACGAGAGAAAATACGATGTATTGGGACATGCAAGTACACTAAAATACATGAGAAAAAGATCCAATAAATGAGTATAATTTCTTAAATGAAAGACAGAATATGCTACCACAGATTGGTGATCAATATAGTATTCAAATAATTCTACAGATCTTTATCATTTGAGAAGATGGACCCGGATCTTTATCACTAGAAACTAATGAAACTTGACCCTAAAGAGCCAAAAATAGTGACTACATCGAAACTGCTAAAGTTGTCACAAACTGAACATAAAAGTAAAGTCCTTAGAATCAAATACACCATATTAAATGCATTGCTCTGAGGTTTCGGGTTTCGTTTCCATGATAATGTTGATGATTTGATCAGAGAAGAAGAAACAATTACCTTCCATCCAGTTAATTTTGCATGGTTTATTGCTCCAACAAGACCATCATCGGAGGAGAGTAGAACTTTATCTCCTTCATTGTCTTCATACTCCATCATACGCAATGATCAAATCTCAGACCAGCAAAAGGAAAACAAACTTACCAAGAGTTTAATTCTGCATTTATCACCATCAAGCCCAAGTCTCTAGGTTACAGC